ACGATTAATAAATTACACATATTTGGAAAGCTTAGAGTCTCCATTCTCATTTGATGCAACTTATATGATGCATATTCCACGCATGAGTGATGACAAGCAATTTGAAGAGATGATGCTTGCATTTCCATAATTTGATCAAACGAGTTCGTGTTCACTGGCTGCCTGCCGTAGCAACTAACATAGTTGACAAAAGACTCCGTTTCGTTGACGATCAGCCATGCACAAAGAAGGCGAAAGACCAGTGAAAACGAACTCATTTGATTAAATAATAGATGCAAGCATTACTTTAAACAAACAGAAATTGTGATTATGTTATGATAAAACATCAATATTTCTCGGTTTCGTTTTTTTCTGGGACGCACTGTATAAGCAATGGGACAGAGTCGGGGGAGTTTAATGATTAACTACATACATGCGTTATGCATTAACGAAATGTCTTGTCAGAAAACGTCGAGAAACTAAATGTTTGTTTGTAGTTGAAAGTTCAATTCGTGTATTATCATTTACCCGCTTTTATGATAAAGATTCGATATTCTTTTAACACCGAGTCATAATGTCAATACAAAGAGGAAAAAATCAAAGAAGTTTCTCCTAATATATTTTCAGCTGACGTTGAATAGTTCATGGACGTCATTTCACAAGCATTTTTTTTTTTTTGCTTTCCGTTTCGCGATTCCAAAATTTCTTCTTATTCTTATTAATCTGTGTTCATATATAGTGAACTTACATTATATTTGGGGAATTGGAAAATGGCCGACAAATGAATGATTCGTTATTAGATTTGGGCGAAGATATTAACCAAACATGTAACATTAAACATGTCAAATAGTTATTTGAAAACAAATCTTAATTGTATATATTTCCTGATATATTTCATGATAATATCTAAGACATATACGGCGTAACGTATACATGCGATAACAAACAAAAAACATCAAAGAAGATGTATGTTTTTCTTAACGGCTATCAGAAGCGTATCCAGCACTTGATGAAACAGATGTAAAAAAAAATGATAATAATGCGACTCGCAAAGGGTCTGTAGCTAACGGGGCTACCTACCTGCATACCGCCCGCCCTCCGATCAACGGAAAATTTCCCCCGTTAAATTATATTCAATCCTTTAATGCCAGGCGTCATAAACCTTAACCAATTCACTTTTCCCGTTTCAAAAATGTGTTATAACTCACGACACAATGGGTTCATCTTATTGTTGATTATTGCAATGAACACTCATAATTTCATACTAAACAAATCAGTATCACATTTAGTGTTCAACCCTCTGCCTTTCCCTTTCCCTTCGGCAGATTTCGGCTCTTCTTGGCGTTGCCTGGCTGTTCGGGCTCTTGGCCATGGTCATCAACATCCTAGTCATATGGTACCTCTTCATCATCGTCAGCTGCCTTCAAATGGTCTTTATATTCTTCTCGTTTGGGGCCAATAAACGAGCGAGGAAGCTCTGGAGTTCCCTTCTCGGAAACACATTCAATCGGAACACGCCGACACGCACCGAATCGACGACGCAGTAATGATTATCTCCAAAAGTATACTACGATTGGCTCTGTACTTTAGCTGCTCCAGACGCAGTCTAAAACTGGCGGTTCTACACTCTGCTCAAAGCTTGAGGAATCGTGGTGCCGTGCTTGCAGACTAGTAATAATACTGCACAGGAGGGGATCTGCATCTGTCCGTGACGTACAATCACCAGCATCTGGTTGTCGCGTACGTTGGGTTAGGGTCAAACGCCGAACACGCCTAAATATTGAAGTGTGCTTCGGCTACAAGGTTTTTAATGTCTAATGAGTCCAATTTGATTTTAAAAGTTTTCACGTCGGGTGAGTTTCTGGTTTCCTCATCTAGATGATTCCATTCGGGGACGGTCTTGGGGTACAGGGAATGCCGGTAGCAGTCTTTGTTGGAACTAATGACATGGTATTTATAAGTTCCCCTTTGTCTTGTTTTATACCTGCATCTACTTGAGTAAGGGAGCTGGAGGTAGGTCGATATGTTGCTGGGTGTTAATACATGCGTTTCCTTATACAATGCAGTTAGTCTGGCTTTGGTTCTGCGGACTTTCAAAGTTTCCCATTTGAGGTTTTCCAGCATCGTTGTAACACTTGATTCCCTGTCGTAGTCCCTTGTTGTGAATCTAGCTGCTCTGCGATGTATCCTCTCCAGTTTGTCCTGGTATGATTTATGCTGTGGGTCCCATATAGCTGCACAAAACTCTAATTTGGGCCTAATTAGCGATTTGTTTGCTATGTCCTTAGTGCGAGTACTGCAGGAATGCAGATTTCTCTTTAACAGTCCTAACATCTTGTTTGTCTTTCATGAAGTTTGGTCAATGTGTGTTGCCCAACTAAGTCCCTTTGATAGCTCTACACCCAGGTAAGGGTGGTGTTGCACTTCTTCCAGTGTGACGTAACCCAACTTGTACTTGGTTTGAACTGGTTTCTTTTTATGGGTTATTTTCATTTGAAAACATTGGATGCGTTGAAAGACATTTGCCAATCGTTCTCCCGCTTGACAAACATGTCCAAGTCGTTCTGTAGAATGCCAGTGTCCCCTGTGTTGTTTATGACTCGATACACTATACAATCGTCAGCAAAGAGCCCTACTTGTGACTGGATCCCAGAAGGTAGGTCGTTGATGTAGGCAAGAAACAGGAATGGGCCGAGGACCGTCCCTTGCGGAACTCCTGATGTAACTTTACACTTGGTGGAGGCTTCACCTTGTATGACGACCTGCTGAAGACGGTTGGTAAGAAATGAATCAATACATTTCAGGGTGTTATTCCGAACTCCAAAACTATTCAGTTTCTTAAGAAGACGCTGATGGGGTACGGCTTTAAAAGCTTTGCTAAAGTCCATTATGACCAGGTCCATCTGACCCCTGTCATCTTATGTTTTGGCCGGGTCATCAACGAGGGCCACTAGTTGAGTTTCGCACGAACGTCCTTTACGAAAGCCGTGTTGTACGTCAACTAAAACATTATGTTTGTCCAAGTGATTCATGATGGGGTGGTGGATGATATGCAGCTGTTCTACATACATTATGGTTTGCCCTACCTAAAAACACGTATATGTATACAATTCGCATTCTGACCATTGAAATACAATTATTCGTAATAGGTGAAGGAAATAGTTTGTAACGATCGAGATATTTCAAAAAAACATGTGCGTTAAATTCGATTACATTACGAAAATGGCCTATTGAATGCAATATAACAAAAGTTTAAGGTTAAGAAACTTCTGCCATGCAGTTAGTGGGTGAGTAACTAAAATACAGCTCAGTGGGTATCTCACAAGTCGTACTACTCTGACATCACTAGTGACTCGATCCCGCAGGAGAATGGCTAAAAAGGAAAATGCAAATTTGGAAAAGATTGTTTTCTTTCGCTAAGTAATCAAAGTGGAAGTAAAGACACCGCTGAATTTATACTCAGTCGATTAGAATAATGATTTGCTCAAATTATGTAATTATATTCTAGTCTTAGGACCATATCTGCTTGTGACACCAATTTTGTCAGATGTTTGTGTTATGAATACTAATAAATAGAAGGCACCCAAATATTGTGGTCAGAGTATTCATTTGTTGTGTTTTTCCTCTTTCTTGCATATACTACAGGTACAATTATGACAATGCTTTGTCGTGACCATTTTCCCATCGTTTCCAATGTCTCCCCACCCCACCTCACCCATAACGTCTCTTTCTTTCTCTCTCTCTCTCTCTCTTTCTTTCTTTCTGTTCTCTCGCCGCCCCTCTTTCTCTCTCACCATCTCTCTCTCTCTCTCTCTCTCTCTGTCTCTTTGTCTCTGTCTGTCTGTATGCCTGTCTCTCTCTACTTCTCCTGCCTTTGTTTGTCTTTTTGTTCCCACATCTCCCTTTCTCTTTGGCCTTCTCCCCTCTCTTTATCTCCCCACCCCACCTCACCCCTCACCTCTGTCTCTCTGTCTCTCTGTCTCTCTCTGTCTCTCTTTTTTGTTGAAGAGCGGAATAATTCAGCGGGCGACATTAATGCATGCCTATCATTTCACTTTGATATTCTGTCATTATCATAGAAAGCTACATTATAGGTCTACGTATAATGGCAAGAAAAGATGCTGTAGCAACTACGTTTATCGTTTTTAATACCCATGAAATATACTTGTGTATTTAAACTTTCATCACAAGTTCATCATTGGATTTAGCATTTAAGCGAAATGTGACCTTTTAAGGGGCTAGGTGCTTTTATGATGCCATAAGAATCCATTATCAACCGGTGAAAGCTGTGCTTACATGCGTTAAGCTTCGATTTTCTTGATCCAGTCACCGAGGGAAGTTACTTTTTATCGGGGGAAATGTGCATACATGAATTTAGATGGAATAATCTTGGTTTAACGTCCATCAACGTTTTTCATCCAGTTAAACTCTGTAAACGCACATAATTAAGCATGCATACGTGTTTACTCAAACACACTCACAAAGATGAAAAGACTGGCTCGGCAATCGGCAGGATTATTACATAACAGGTTGGTGATGTTTTACGAGGTAAAGGAGCCATAATGGAGACACGGTTTTGTAATAACGCGGATCGGAAAACTTCGCGGCTCGAATCAAATTAAAAATCAAACCCAATCAAATCAAATCAAATCAAGATATGTTATTGCTGCCAGTAACGTATAGCTCCGGGTAGAATGTGGGGGTGATCGACAGACAAGGGGTTGAGTGGGAGAGGGAAAGAGAGAGAGAGAGAGAGAGAGAGCCACAGAGGGGGAGGGGGAGGGGTAGGGAGGGATAAAGAAAGAAATAGAGGGGGAAAAGAAGATGAAAAAGAAGATGAAAACTCCTCTCCACACTCCTCGATTTGAAAATGATCGAGGCCATGCATGGGTACTCCAATGACTATATTAATGGTGAGCTATATACAGGGCAGTCGTGCGGTTCAGCTTTTTATTTTGAATATCAATTTGAAGAAGTGATCATCAGCTTCTAAGTGTATTAATACAGGCACGACAATAAGGTTCATATAACAAGGTTCGTATTAAAAGATACATCTTTATTATCCATACATTTAGCGATGGAATAAGTGAAAATTGCATGGTATATGAATACTCAAATCGACATAAATACATTCTTACAAAAAGACAAAATAATTAAAGATATTTTGAGTTGGAAACAGTTCAGTACATTATGCACATGTAGAATGATTATACATAATATGATAGTTTATAAATTAAACTCAGTTACGCTGACATTTTCTCGACAAGATAAATTTGTTATTTCTTTAATTCGGAAAATCAGTAAAATACTGTAAAACCGATCACGAAATGTACACTTCACACTACAAAAATATATTTCAGATTGTTTGTAGATTAATTGATGACGGCAAATATGGCTTTCAAGCTGACTGGACTTTTTGTTGACATCTTTTTGTTTTTTTTTCTTTTTGTTTTTTGTTGAGGGGGAGAAATTTCTAATGTCTGTCAATCTTTCCGTGATTGATATATGCAACTTGTTTGTTCGTAAACGACATTATATGTAATAAAATATGGCTATTTATATAGAAATCTTGTTTTACGATGTACATGTAGAATACATTTACATTTAAATTCATTAGACTACAAATGTAAATTCAAAGGGTACGTTGATGGACCTCGTAGCCAGAATCATAATCTTATTTACAGATAATATCATAACATGTATATTTTATAACCACAATTTGAAAACATTTATTCTGGCTTAAAAACGCACAAATAGTCGGTATTTAGACGTACATGTACTTTCACATACATGCATGAGATTACGTCTTTTCTTGTACGTATAAATTACTTTCGTTTTTTTCAACATGGGTTGTGAATTTTCCATCGTGGATCTAAAACACCCATGATGAAATCATTACATTTGTTCAGTTCAAATGTACGTTGTCGTTTGATAGTCACCACGAGGCATCGCATTGTTTTGATGCGTCGTTCTTTGATCATTCAGATCATGTCCACGACGGTTGTCCTCATCAACCCGAGGCGTGGCCGGGGGCGTGGCCGGGGGCGTGGCGGCATCCTCGTTCAGCTTGTAGGGAGACTCCAACACCAGCGACTCGTAAGAGGGCGGCGACTCGGTTGGCGGTGGGGTGGAAGGCCGGTAGTCTGGCGGGGGCTCGGTCATGTCGAAAGCAGGATTATGGATGTACCCATTGTCATCACGTGATTCGGTGTGGGTTGGGGTGGAGACACGACGGCGGTGGCGCCCTCGCTGGTAGATAGCCAGGCCGATGAGGATGATGAACATCGACGCACCCATGGCGGCGATAAGTATTACCTCCCAGACTGGTATGCCACCTCCAGTTTCAGGTTCTGCATATTTAAAGAGAATTGCAGTGTGTTCGATCAACACATATTTGCAACTTTTCATTCCCATCTTCAAGCTAGCTTTAATTTGCCGATAAGGCCAGAGTTTTTTTCTCGTTTCTTTCATCTATGTTGACACGAGAAATGAAAGTATTAAAGGTGAAATTCAAAGAAAATCAGAAATATGTCAACTAATGTATCACTAAATTAAAGCTAACAGATGGCCATCGTAAAAGTTTTAGGTCAACTACATATCGGGTGATTTATAAAAATAAAAATACGACCACCTCCATAACAGTTGGGATATACGAGAGATTCGCCGGAAAAATAACGATGTTTTAATGACGTCACTATATGGACCAATACTGCCCAAGCAGACGACATCCCATAAAGAATAAACATAATTGCAAAGCTATTATATGTCAAATTATAATGAGTTTAGTGTATATAAATGTAATGCCATGTCAAACCATTCAAAAGGGGATATGACCCGATTCTGATAACTAAAATCGTTTGCTTGTAAATACACAGGATAAGGGTTAATTAACAATCAAAGAAACCAGACTTTCAAATTGAAATCAGATTCCCTTATTTTTGTATCGCTGCATTTGTCATCAAAATAAAACCATGCGCGGGGCTTAGAGTGAGGCAATAGATTATACATTTAGCCTGACGGTAGTGAAGTAAGAGAAAGAACTCAAGAGAAGATGAAAACACAGGCAGTGAAAATGTGTGAGATGTTATGGGACATCGTCTACTTGTGCAAATCATGTCCATACTGTGATCTCACACATCTCAGCAGCGTTCGGTGAGCTCTTCAGGTGCTATGCCAGGGCTGTATTTTAGCGCTTTGTAATTTATAATAATCATTACTTCGAATATTTCCAAGTATTGAATTTTGATAACCTTGTCGAATCAAAGTTTCAACTTTGCAATAATGAAAATAAAGTTAAGTTTTTAAAACCAATGAATATCTACTTTAAGAGAATGTGAAGAGTTAATAACAGGGTCACAATCAAGTCTAAAAAGTCTAGGACAAGTAAATAAATAAAGAAAATTGTGCTCTTTCCATTTTGTTTTGTTTTAGTATAGTGGCGCTCAAGCATCTACTTCATTTAGGTTGCTTTGAATGCAGTGACCCACCTCCGTAATAATAACACTCGATTCCGACGTCCTGATCGTGCAGGCAGTCTCGCTCCCCCCAGGCACCATATTGACACTCCCTCAGGCTGTCGTCGTCTGCATCGCAGTCGACGTTGCTGAAGGCAGTCGGGCCGTAGCTATTAGGAAACTCTGAAGGATCCATGATCTTGGCATACTGACCCGAGGCATAGTTCAGTTGTCTACATACAACCTGTTAGCATCAGACAAATTAAAAGTAAATAATTGCTGTACTGTGACGTAGCTACAGGGAGGCACAGGGAGCACTTGTCCCTCAATAATATTGAATGACGAAAAAGAAGAAACAAGGGAGAAGGAAAAATAATACACCCCCCCCCCCCCTCCTGACCGGGTCTCAGATTATGTGAGATAAGAAAACGCGATCTCAACGTGTCCCTAAATCTCCTGTCGGATGTAAATATTATGAGGGGGTAAATTCCATGGTGGGGGTTGAAGATGGCACTCGGAGCTGATGCGACTAGAAAAAATGGCATTCATCACGAAGCAAGCTTAAGCCTAATGTAAATTAGAATGATTGGAGAGGGTGTTTTTTGAAATAATAATAATAATAATATTCGGTTCTTGCATAGCGCATATCACATTTAAACGTCTCTATACGCTTCCAAATTTGGAAATTATCACCCCGGCTTTAGCTGTGCTGCCATTGAGGCGCCCTAGCATTTCAATCTATTCATTATGCAAATGTATATGAATGAAAACCGGATGATCCGTATTCCCTCCTTATTTGGTGTGCGAGGAGAAATTACTTTATTTTATCTCATTTTTGTTGTATCACTGTGAACACAAATATACATTTGTACAAGCTACAAGGTACAAGCTACAAGTCATTTGACAACTGTGTGGGGAGGGCTAGAAATGGGAGATGGGGGGGGGGGGGGGTGAGTGGGAAGAAGAGTGAGTTTGGGAGGGGTGTTCACCTCTGCCTCGGTCTGCCCCCATCCTTCCGATGAGCAAACAGTCCCCCAGGCTCCATCTCCAAGGTATACCTCAAGCCGACCATTCGAAATCGCGTTACCATAGCCTACAAGCCTAGGTTTTAATGTTCCTATGGATTCTAGAATTAAAAAACATGAATAAATTATTAAGATGGTAAAGAAAATAACTAAAATAACAAAGGTAATAAAAATGATATTCCCCTCATTATTCAGCAACACAATGAATATTTTAGCAACCCTTTCGATTCAACTTTATAACATAAAATGACAAAATGCTTCCTTTGTGTAAAAGTTGGGAAATAGAAAGATAATCAAGACATCAAATACCGTCTGGATATTTCAGTAAAAGCAATGTCATCGCCTTTGATATTGCCGAATAATAATGATCAATGTTTGGTACTGCCGTCAAACGTTTAATTAAAGAAAGCCTTAAATTTGAACAATTAGTCACTCTCAGTGATTCAAAAATGATTGTTTAAAAATAATAAATGATCATTTGAGTTTCAAGAATGAAGAAGTAATTCATAGCGACAATTCTTTTACCATATGGCCTGCACATCATAGAGATATCTCGAGTATGGTCCTGATCGCCGACCAACCTGCCATCCCAATCTGAGGTGCACTCTCTGAGATTATCCTCATTCCCATCACAAGTGATCGTCTCCAAGTCCCAGATAGGACCATCACCAGTCCCGAACACGGCCTCGTCATAGATCTCCATGACGGACTCGTAGCCGAGCTGTCGACATATGACCTCGGATTGATGTTCGTTGAGGGTTCTCACGGTGCCCCAGATACCCGAGTGATATAGCTCGAGCCGACCTTGGCCAGCGTACTCGCTATTTTGTAGTCTGATGTCCAAGTCTATACATACAAAATAATAAAACATCGTAAACACGATTCTTTGAATTCGCTTACATTGTCGCCTTTCTCTCGGACTCCAGGGTATGTATCCCTGTCATTCTTATCAAACCTAAACTTCACGAATATTACACAATCGCAGAGACTTTGAAGAAATCAAAGGGGAGGGGGCTGCTTCCCCGGCTCTAATAGCTAGCTACGCAGCTGATCACGTTGCATAATTATTCTTTCCCTATACGTTATTTTCGTATTATTAGCAGAGATCATTTTACCAGGGATAGATAAACTTGTTTGACTTCCAGCCCCCGTTATCTGATTTTATGTGGAATGTATATAGCCACCATTGTTAATACCGTAGTAACTCTTTTTATGTCATTTTTTTTTGTCTACGGAGTAATTTTTCCGTATCCTATTTTTTACTTTTTACTAGGCCTATTTTCTTCAAATTAAATTATATTGATAGCTCCAGTATAACCTGACATTGTTCCGCAAATATTTTAGACCTGATTACAAAAGGCTTGGTCTTACCTTTTGGTTTGCTACACCAAGCCTGTGCAACTGTCTCTGGAAGACATTCATTAACACTAGTATAATCCCACGGACAATCGTAGTACAGCACCTCTTCTTCCCCCGTGCATCTGTAGTGTCTTACTAATGTATCACCGATCACGGCGTTGATGACAGCGACGGGCGTCCGGAAATCATCGTCGACCTCGTAACCGAGCTGACGACACACGACCTCCCGCTCCTCCCTGCCCCAGTGATCGGTATCGTCACAGACAGTGTGCCAGGAATCGTAATACCACACCTGGACCACACCTTCGTAACTCGTGAAACCGCCTAGGAGGCGAATTTGCTTGTCTTTCCCTGAAAACGATATTAGGGGATGAACATTATGAGAGTGTTACTAACATTTTAGAAAGGGTTCCGAGGGCATTCGATGACTACATCGGCTAAATCCTATCTGACCAGATATTAGGTGCTGAAGCATTCAATAAATAACTTGATTCTTACCAGTACCCAATTGCCTCCCCTGGATCTAGAGTGTCAAATGTAAATAGTGGTTTGCCAAAAGACGTAATTCATTACTGAACTAAACTGTTCTGAACCAGTTTTTTTGTTCTGTATTTACAACATGCAGTTAGCCTGTTCTGTAAATACTTAGGCATTTAGCAGTCAGTGGTGCCATTAGAACTTCAGAAGGGGTGTCGTCAATTAATTAGCAAAGGGGAAGACCCAAAAACGATACTAAGAACTAAAAAACTAAGAACTTATGTTTTATCTGTCTGAAATTTTCGCCAAAACTCTTTTGAAAACATATGGTACACCCCTCCTCCTTTCACAATGATCTAGCGAGGCACCTGTTCGCATTTCTAAACTGGTTCTAAATCACTAAACGTACTCAAGCAAACAGCGCCCGCGTCGGTACGATGGTTGCAGTTATCATTTGCGAAACCACTGTGTGGGCAGCTAAACAGACTACTCTCCTGTCCATAGCAGTATAGGTCATCCAGAAGAATAGGACCATCAGCCGATCCAAAGTACGAGTTCCGAGGCGCTTCCTTGGCCCCGAGTTCGTAGCCGAGTTGGCGACAGGCGACGCTGGCGTCTTGGATACCCCATTGGTCGTCGCAAACAGTGCCCCAGGTGGCACCGTAGAAAACTTCGACCCGACCTTCGTATGGTACGCTACCGTCAACGAGGCGGACGTCTGGTGAACGAAGGAAAGAAAATGATAATGGTGAATCTTGACAGTGGTGCAAAATAGACCGATACAGGGTCGTCGAGTGATCTGTAGAATTAAAGTACAGTGAATTCCAGTTATGTCATCACATTCGAACCTCCAAAAGGGAGTCCTCTATAACTATGAGTAATTTGTATGGGTGACTTTCAACATTTTCTTAACTTTATTGTGTTGCTCCGATTTCTCTCGATAAATTTGTCTGGCTTATATGCACATGATTCAGGATAATTTGATTACGAATGCTTGTGCCTATTGCATACGAAACGTGATTTTAATAAAAACGTGCAAAGGTCACTATATGGCCCTTATGTTAGTTAAACACAGTGTTTGCATTCAGTTTGTGAACGATGTCACTACCAGGCGCGGATCTAGGATTTCTTAGGGGAAGTGCATCTTGACAGTGGTGCAAAATAGACCGATACAGGGTCGTCGAGTGATCTGTAGAATTAAAGTACAGTGAATTCCAGTTATGTCATCACATTCGAACCTCCAAAAGGGAGTCCTCTATAACTATGAGTAATTTGTATGGGTGACTTTCAACATTTTCTTAACTTTATTGTGTTGCTCCGATTTCTCTCGATAAATTTGTCTGGCTTATATGCACATGATTCAAGATAATTTGATTACGAATGCTTGTGCCTATTGCATACGAAACGTGATTTTAATAAAAACGTGCAAAGGTCACTATATGGCCCTTATGTTAGTTAAACACAGTGTTTGCATTCAGTTTGTGAACGATGTCACTACCAGGCGCGGATCTAGGATTTCTTAGGGGGAGGGGGGGGGGGGCAAATTTGAAATTATGCGATCCATATATTGGTACGTAATGGTGACCAACAGTGACGTAATGCGGGGGGGGGGGTCGGTACAGGGAGGGGCGAGTTTTCCCCACCCTCCTCCGCGAAACGCGAAAGCTTTGACGTTTCATTAAATTATTAGAGAAAGAAGACGATTCGTTGTACCGTTCTCGACTATAAATCTTTGTCTGAATTTAGTTTTTCTCCTCCCGCGCGAAACGCGAAAAATTGTACGATTTATTAAATTATGATTTATTAAATTATTAGAGAAAGAATACGATTCGTTATAGAGTTCTCGACTCTTAATCCTTGTCTAAATTCAGCCCCCCTCCCCCTCCTGTGCAAAGTGCGGAAGCTTTGACGTTTCATTAAACTATTAAAGAAAGAAGACGATTCGTTGTACCGTTCTCGACTCTTAATCCTCGTCTGAATTCTGGTTCCCCCCCTCCCGCGCGAAGCGCGAAAGCTTTTAAGTTTACTTAAATCATTAGAGAAAGAAGACGATTCGTTGTACCGTTTTCGAAAATAATCCTCGTCTGAATTTAGATTCTCCCCCCCTCCCACGCGAAGCGCGGAAGCTTTTACGTTTCATTAAATCATTAGAGAAACAAGACGATTCGTTGTAAAGTTCTCGACTCTTAATCCTCGTCTGAATTCAGTTTTCCCCCTTTCGCGGTAAGCGGACACTTTTTTTTTTTTTTTGGAGGCCAAAAAAAATCGCAACGACTCAGCCGGCAGAAAAGTCGCTCAGTGGGGGGGGGGGGGGGGGGGGGGGGGGGGGGGGGGGGGGGGGGGGGGGTAAGCGGACACTTTTTTTTTTTTTTTTTGGTCTCAAAATTTCAAAATTTGACATTTTTTTACGTATGGGGGGAGGGTAAGGTCACCTTATTTAGGTTAGCCGTGGGTATAATTTTTTTTTTTTTTTTTTTTTTTTTTTTAATAAAAAAAAAAAAAAAAAAAAAAGCCAAAGGGGGGGGGGGGGGGGTTTTAGGTTTTTTTAGGGGGGTTTACATACATTAAAATACCAAAGGGGGGTGTTTGAACCCCCAAAACACCCCCCTGCGTACGCCCCTGGTCCCACTTGCAGCCAACATCAAATTCTGTAGAACTTTACAGGAATTATGAATCTGTCACGTTTGTCCTATCTGTGAAATGTAAACGTTAGCAGTGTCCTAGTATTCAAATTATGCAAGGAAACCCGTGTACTTTGAGTGCCTGACTTCTTTTTTCTCTTTGGTAATAACATACATAAAATGAGATGTAAAGGTACATGAGCATTTGTCTTCATCAATAACCCATTTCTTGTAACGGCCAAAATAAAACTGATTGAATCTTTGCGCAGCACAAAACGTACGACCATTCGGACTATTTAGACTATTACTATATTATGGTTGCAATCACTAAAGTCAATTCGACAACTAATGCTCCTTATTTTCCCACTAAAAGACATTTTCAAGCCCTTTGATTTTAAAGGAAGTTCTAAATAATTATTATCTTTCAAATGCCGTTGAAATTTAACGTTTTCATTTTTGGCCTGCAAATGGGATATAGTACCGTTAAGCTAGCTTCTGCAGAATATATATAATTGAGAGATTACCTGTAGAATCACATTGTAGAATCACATTTCTTTTCTCATGGCAGGCGTCAACGGTGTCCCATTCTGCATCCGGACACACTTCCAGTCTCCTCTCGCTACCATAGCAACGGAAACCGTGGAAGAAGGTCCATGGGTCGTCGTCGTGCCCAGAGTTGGTGCTGTTTGACGGATCACTGAAAGAACTGTTCAAGTAACCGGAGAAGCCAAGTTGACGGCAAGCCACTTCCCCGGCTGCCGCGGTCCAGGTATCCCCGCAAACACTGCCCCAAGAGCTTGAGGAATTCCCCATGATCTGCAGTATGCCATCATGCGATGAGGTACCGTTTGTAAGTCTTAAAGAACCTGGATGAGACATAGCAAAAACACGGAGAATATCATTTGAATAGGCGTTGATATGTAATATACTAGTGACTTTTAGATTTGCACGTCGACAGCTTTGACTGCAACGTGTGACGTCATTTTAAGGCACTGCGCAAGCGCACGTCGTCTCAGTCGGCGATCGAGAATGCGTCAACCTTGATTTCCTAAATCTAGTACGGTACTAGTATGCCGCGTGCACGCTTACACTATGAACACGGCGGAAAGAAAGATGACAAAATATACAGTTCCTCAGGTAGACAATGGAACATCCCTTCCCTGCTATTATGTAAAAATGTGTAAAACAGGTGTCACGTGCATATTCACCTGTTCTACACATTTTTACATGATAATAGCAGTAAAGGGATGTTCTTTGTCTACCACAGCAATTGTTGGGGGTAGAATGAGGAACTGTATATTTTGTCCTCTTTCTTTGTCCGTCATATTCATAGTGTTACTTCCTGCATGCATATATATCGTCAAGTGAAATCTAAAATATTTCTAATTGTAGTCAACATGGGCACTTGGGTACGTTGACACGCAAGATCAGTCGGCGTTCGTCGTGTTCTCGTCCACTCAATCTAAAAGTCCCTACTAATAGGACGACGGCATTCTAATATCTCCAACAAAACTCCAAACACCTAGCCAATGATTCCGGATTGATTATTAGCAGCACTGAGACGGTTTTCTGCCAGTCTTTTAAAGAAAAGTTATTGCGTTATAAAAGAAACCCGACAGAGAGAAGAAAGTTAATAATAATTCTATCTGCAGAAAAGCAGCAAAACCCAAACAGGAACAAAATTACGTACCGTGTTTCAGAAAAAGTATTAAATTAATATTTTAGATATGATGTAACAAAGTTAACATCATAGTTCCTCGAAGAAATATGATTGATTTTGTCCGAAAATTTAATTTGAGCAAATATGTCATTTTTAAAAACAATTAAACGTAGACGAGCAATGGCGTAGCTACGTTTAACCACCTCCCCCTTCACAGCCTCGAACGGCGAGAACAGGAAGACAGGAAAGCAAAGGAAAGGAATTGGAGAGGGGAAGGCAGCGTGATAAATGATCCGACCCAAATTGACATTAGGAACTTTTAGATTTGCACGTCGACATAGTGGACTGATACGTAATAGGTGTCCCTTAAAAGGACGTCACACGTAGCAGTCCACTATGTCGACGTGCAAATCTAAAATTCCCTATTGGCTTTAATCTCTCGACTGGTGCCTCGAAATGACGCCAGTGAAAACGCAATTGCTAAACCTTGTCTCTAGAACACTGTATACGAGAAACGATAGAATCATCATAAACATGATAAAGGATAAAGCCTGAAAGCCAACCAATGAGAACGTACCCATCGCTGTGGGTGGGGGGGGGGGTGACTGGCCTTAATATTGGTAAAAGCAATTCAGATTAATTAGGCCACCAATTAGGGGAAGGTTTTGGAGGGTGGTCCTATGGTATATTTTTCTCTTTCTTTTTCTCTTTCCCCGTTCTCATCACGCCAATTCTCTCTCTCTCTCTCTCTTTGTCATTCGTGTGTGTGTGTGTGCGTGTGTGTGTGGGGGGGGGGGGCTCTGTTTCTAAGCCACACCTGAACAGGAGATAGCATATTCTCTTTGTTGATAAGGTTCAAGAAATTTAGCTCTCACCTCGTGCAGTACACATCACCGAAGCATCATCCTCATGCGCACAGTCATGAGTCCCTATCGTATTATGGTTGCATTGATTCAAGCTCTCTTCTCCTCCTCGACACTCTACATCGTCCAACCATATTGGACCACTCCCAAGACCGTAGGCTGCGGCGACCAGGGCCAGATCCGCCCCACTATAGCCCAGATCCTTGCACACTACCTCGGCCTCGTCTAGACTCCAGTGGTCGTCACAGACCGACCCCCAGCGTTCATAGTAAAACACCTCAACTCTTCCCTCAGAGGGAACCTGTCCATCCACCAGTCGCACATATTCTATAAAGAAGAAAATGCAAGATGAGAGAATATTTTAGGTTTAAATAACCGTCAGTGCTGTCTTTAAGACCAGAAAAGGGAAAGGTACTGATATATTGTTTTCTTTAATAAACATGATAGTAATATTGGATACTTATATAGCGCACATTCTTATCCACCACGCAAGAAGCTCAAGACGCTCCAATATTAGCCCGGCTCTGCTAGGCTACCGTTTCAGTGCTCGCAGCATTCAAGGAATTCCTTCCTGCCGGTACCCATTTAACACCTGGGCGGAGAGTGGCAAATGTAGATCAATGTCCAATCCAATCCATGAATTTATAGAGCGGCAATATCTAGTTGCCTATTCAAAGGCGCTGATGAGACTGAAAAACTACCAAAAATATATGTTCATGATTCTAACTGGGAAAGTCAAATAAGCAGTGACTAATTGTAAGCAATCTAAAATAGGTAGGCCAACGTCTTTAGTGAGTTTTGAAAGTGGAGCACTAATTTTGTTTTTCTTCCAAATTCGTGAGAAAATATTCAGCGCCGAATCAGCCAACCGGCGAATAAGCGGGGGTTGGGGAGGGGTAGTGAGCACTATTTATTTATTTCTGACTATTGAAATGTTATTATTCGTAACAGGTGAATTAGATAATTCGTATAAATTTGGTCACATTATGATAGTCCGTTCAAAACAATAAACGTCATCAGTCTTTTTTCTATACTAAATTGTAAACGATTGAATGAAATCCAATATAATTTGATGTTTAAAAAAGAACATTTGAAATTCTACTCTCCATGGAGTTGAGATTCATGTAGTCACTTGTGGTGTCTACTTGTTTTCTTCGAAGGTATACCCCCAAAACACTTATATATATATATATATATATATATATATATATATATATATATATATATATATATATATATATACGTAACATTTATCACGTACATTTTGTTGAATTTCTTTTATTATATAAACCACGTAGTCCCACGACATCCTTCGACCAGTCACTGTAGGGTCTAGTGGTCTCGTGGTTCAAATCCGTCCTGGCTTGTCCTCACCGGTGTGAAACTGCCACCAGTTCACCGAGATAGTCCCGTTAGTAACTTGCTAGAGCTACCGTTACATGTACTTACCCACCTTTGCAAGCAGCCTTCATGATTTCGTTATATAAAAGTGAAGGCGGTCACTGTCGCTTCGCCGCGACAGACATCTACTACTCAGTCCCACCAATGTAGTGCGTGTAATGGCGCTTAATATCCAGACAATTCAGACATTAATAATATTGTCAGTATTCAGATAGGCCATAATAAAGGCCATAATATGTTATTATGTGAAGTCCCAAGAAACATGAGAAATGTGTACACAAGGCAATGACGATTTTTATCTTACGAAATCGTCGAGTTGCCATTTAGAATATGCATAATGAGTCATTACTCACCCGCATTTCCAGTAATGTACGGAAATATGCTGAATAATCCCACCAGGCTGATGAACAAAAGCGGCTTCATAGTAGAAAAAATATCCATAATTCGCCTACAATTTAATAAGGTCTATGTGCCTTCCAACACAGAGACAGAAATGGTATGTTGATCACGACTCAAAATGTAGTAATGTCTACAATAATGGGGGTGAATTCTTCTTCCTGATCAAACCGGCCGCTTCGCCTTGTTGACATTCCCTATATAAGCAATGCGACAGAGTCGGGGAAAATTTAATGATTAACTACGGGTACATACATGCGTTATGCATTAACGAAATGTCTTGTCAGAAAACGTCGAGGAACTAAATGTTTGTTTGTAGTTGAAAGTTCAAAACGTGTATTATCATTTACCCGCTTTTATGATATAGATTCGATATTCTTTTAACACCGAGTCATAATGTCAATACAAAGAGGAAAAAAATCAAAGAAGTTCCTCCTAAAATATTTTCAGTTGACGTTGAATATTTCATTGACGTCATTTCACAAGCAATGTTTGTATTTTGCTTTCCGTTTCGCGATTCTGAAATTTGTTCTTATTCTTATTAATCTGTGTTCTAGTGAACTTACATTATATTTTGCGAATTGGAAAATGGCTGACAAAATATTCGTTATTAGATTTTTGGTGAAGATATTAACCAAACATGTAACATTAAACATGTCAAATAGTTATTTAAAAAACATCTTAATAGTATAATTATTTCCTGATATATTTCATGATACTATCTAAGACATATACGGCGTACTGTATACATGTGATAACAAACAAAAACCCATCAAAGAAGATGTATTTCCTAACGGCTACCAGAAGCGTATCCAGCACTTGATGAAACAGACGTAAACAAAAATAATAATAGGGACTTTTAGATTTGCGTGGACTGATACGTATGACGTCCATTCAAGGCAATGCATTAAAAGGACGTCGATCGTAGCAATCCCCAATGTCTTCGTATGAATCTAAAAGTCCCTAATAATGCGACTCGCGGAGGGTCTGTAGCTAGCAGGGACACCTACCTACATACCGCCACCCCCCCCCCCCCCCGATCAACGGAAGATTGCACCCGTTAAAGTGTATTCAATCCTTTAATGACAGGCGTCATTATACAGCCGTCATAAACCTTAAGTTCTTAACTAATTCACTTTTCCAATTTCCAAGCATGTGTTATAATTCACCACACAATAGGTTTATCTTAATTATTGTTGATTGTTATACCCTCGTGTGTGTTGCAATAAACAACACTCATGACAAACCATTACATGCGCCAAAAAGCTACTGTGGGACATGAAATGTTAATTTCTGGATACACTTTTGGACTGTAGGTACATAGGGTAAGAATACTTTGTAGAATATAACATGCTTGTGGAACACACGACACATAAGGCTGCATTTTAGTGATACGATAGATATTTTAAAATCTTTTTAATGGAGACGTATAATTACAAGTTAACAAAAATGTATTTACATAAAACAGCGCAGTGACGATATAATCTTGTAACTAACCTCATTCAAGACATGGCGTGTTTACAAAAAATGAAGCAAACAGAAAGCAAAATATTTATCACTGAGCATGATCAGAAAAAAAAACTTTTGTTTATATTTTAAAAATCCTGAAAATGTTATCAAGAATCACCTATTACCCATTTTATGATTGTATATATATATATTTGCGAACGAAAACGCAGTAATGCATCATTCTCAATGTGTTATTTCTTCCTGGCATTTTGCTTCGTCTTTTTTTATTCCCCGCGTTCAAAACGTTCTAGCAAAGCCCCTGCGTAAATGTGATAACAATTAAAGCACGATCAACGCAGTTGTATACGACTCGAAATTACGTCTGATATGACTGGCCTAATCATCACACCAGTATTGACTTTGAATAAAATACTTTGATATTTTCTAAAATCTTTGGCGAATTGAGTTTAAGCTTCTTTAATCTTAGATTATAAAATGTTCAAAAGGCAACATCGGATACACATTCATGACAAGGAAATTACCCCCCCCCCCCCTCGCACAGCCACGCGCCATTGCCATTACACAAGACTCCATCACAAGCTCACCCAATCATGGGCAGTAGATGGCGCTATTAAACCTCAAAACTAGACTGCCTAACAGAATATTGTAAACATTATGAATGAATATCGAGGAATTATATCTTTATAGTCAAATTGTGATGTTATTAAACAATCTGTGAAAGAACAACATGACTATATTGGCTGAACCCTCCACTGTTAGTTCCTGGTTTAGATCATAAATTCAGTTTATTTTCAGTAACAAAATATGAATAACTTCGTTGTTGTTTCTATTTTGGAGAAGAAAAAAAATTCAAATTCCAATTTGCAAGGTTTGATCGGCAGATTGTTAAATAACATTAACCCGGGAGTCTCATATATGTAGAATTTGTAAAATGCGTGACCACAGGTTTCCCAGACACCTACTAAACGAGAATTTCTTCTGAAACCAAAATACACCCTAAATGAGAATTTCTCGTGGTTTCTTCCCAAATTCACACCCTGCACGGGTATTTAAAAAAAGGGCACTCCTAAACATGTATTGTGAAGTTGTAACCCCTTGAGCATTTTGAAGTGCCATAGGGATTACCATTTAGAATGATGACAATGTAAAATAAATCAGATTGCGATTCTGATGTAAAATTCACGATGTAAAAATTGATTTCAATAGAGAATCAATGACATTTACCTGTACACACCCGAATGGTATAATGCACAGCCAACATACGTTCTATCTTTAAAAAAAAGGAATTACATTTCAAATTGTCTACAAACGATCAGTTTACAGTTACTATTCTACTACGCAAAACAAAATATAAGGGACCAGCTATAGACGTGGTACTTGGTAGGCCTGGGTTGCTTTCGTGGGCATTCATCTTGATCTACTGAAGATCTTAAGACTAGCGCTAGATAAGCTACCTCTCACGGCCGTCGCCAACACTATGAGCAAATAATGACGAATTATTACCCCTGTCTTCCCCGGTCTGGCCCTGAGGGCTAGAAAAATACTCCTTAACGCTGTTTAGATCTTAGCCTTACCTTTATTAACAGGATCATCCATCATAAACTGATGTGTCAATGACCGGTCAGAAGCAAAATTACGTGTTAGGCAAAATAAATGCCCATTCACGTGACTGTACGCTCTCAACCAATCATTTGATTAGGATCCACTTCATCATCTTGTTAGTACTAGATCTATATGTTTATAAGGCAATCATGATAAGGCAATCATTAAGAACCAGCCAGCGTATTAAGCCGGAACTCTAGTGTTTAGGGTAATTCTAAGTACAATTTCTGCCACTAAAACTAAATATTTGGAATGTTGTGAAATGTAATCTCTATGGTGATGTCAAATACGACTACGACAGGGAATCAAGAGTTACAGCGATGCTGGAAAACCTCAAATGGGAAACTTTGAAAGTCCGCGCAGAACCATGAACCTATTACGGATGGACAGTCAACGTGATTCTTTCTTTGATCCTATCATAGTCGCCGCCTTCTGATTATGTGCATCTTAATGGGAACATTCAGCTGTTTTAACAATAACGACTGCGTAAGCATTTTCGGGCTTTGACAAAGGAGCAGTTTCCCTCTCTTGGGTTTTGTTCGGATGGTGTGCTCTGTAAGAGTGTGTCTTGAATAAAAACATCCCCGATGGGGAGCAGCAAAGTTAAAAAGCAGACGATTTTGGTGATATGAAAGGTATTATTACTGATTCGCACACTGTCGCACACCCCCATGACCTTATAAAACAATTAGAAGGCCATAGCCCTGTGCGTTGTAACTCTGGAATATTATGCGGAAATTGGGGAAAACGGGATTTTAAATTACAACCAATCCAAGTATAACCTCTATCTGGTAATATCAACATGTGTTTCAAAATAAAATAAAGTACACGGAATATAAATTTCAGACTATAAACCAGAACTGCACATCGATTTTCCATGATTTAAGCGAGTTATTATCTTCGGCGCATGTAGATTAACATCGTCCTTGTTTTCAAGAAGTGACGGTAGTGAGGAAAATCGTCACGCAAAGGGAATGCAATTTTTTTCACTACCGTCACTTTGTGAAAACAGCGACGACATGTTTAAAACTACTATCTTGATTCTGTCCTGGCGTATTGGCGGCGACCATGATGAGATCAAAGAGAAGAAACATGTACGGAACGGTTATTGAGACGACATTGACGAAGACAATCACAATGAATTCATTAAGAAAACGATGAATGTCCATTCGTAATAGGTCCATGGCAGAACCAAAGCCAGACTAACTGCATTGTATAAGGAAACGCATGGATTAACACCCAGCAACATATCCAGCTCCAGCTCCCAAACTCAATTAGATGCAGCTATACAACAATACAAAGGGGAATTTATAAATGCCATGTCATTAGTTCCAACAAAGACTGCTACCGGCATTCCCTGTACCCCATGACCGTCCCCGAATGGAATAATCTAGATGAGGAAACAAGAAACTCACCCGATGTGAAAACTTTTAAAACCAAATTGGACTCATTAGATACTACCTTGTAGCCGAAGCACACCTCAATATTTAGGCGTGTTTGGCGTTTGACCCTAACCCTACGTACGCGACAACCAGATGCTGGTGATTGTACGTCACGGACAGGTACAGAAATATAAATATTATGTACCTCATACATAGATTTTAATTCACTGAACTAATTCAACTATATCACATGACAAGGAGCATCTCAATCTATCATTGCGTCAGAGGGTTTGGCCTTCTACCAATTGACCTAAGGTCAAATGATAGAACCCTGTGATAGTACGCCTAACCCCTCCGCGACTTTTGCACACACAAAATTTGGTTCAGGTGTTAAGAGCGCTTTCAATTTCTTGAGTTGCTAGGCTACGACTACGTTAATCAATCGCACGGAACGCGCAGTGCGTAAGAATTCAACATGGCGAGTGACTTCATTAATCGAACTCCAACTACAAGATTCGAATTACTAAATGAGGAAGATTTGGAGCAGTCACTTGAGGAAGCAGATACTAAAAATACAAAGAGACAAATCAAGTACGTGGTCTGTAAAGAATATGAGAGAAATGACACCAGATGATTTTGAGCTGCACACGGAGGAAAACAGTCGCCTCTATTTTTCAGTGACAGATAAGCTGAAAAAAAAATCACCGCGATGATGATGAGCAGTAATAAGCTGGACACATATTAGAGATACCAGGGAGGTGTCGCGACAAGTTGGACTTAACTATGGCAGGCCGTTCATGCCACTAGTTCCTCTAACCATTCCTTGTATTGGTTTCTCAAGAGAAATACCAATCGTTGGAACGAATATACAGCATTTACATATTTGAAAGTTCATTATTGGAAGAAAAAAATATTATCTAAAGATCATAATTAAGAGACCAATGGTGAGAGCAACCATTGGCATGAATGGCCTGCCATAGTTTAGTCCAACTTGAAGTCGATCTTACTAAGGCTTTGTGAAACACTCCCCAGATCACCCAAGATGCCCAGTGAGTAATTTGATCAAGTACAAGAGTGAGTAAGTTGCATCCTCTTTGTCCATGGATGTGGCAAAGACCAATATCCAAGGTTAGTGAAGATGATCCCGAGTGGTCATGTAAACATGCCAATACTATTGGCAATAGGAAAAAATCAGCTGGGAGACTTTACCAAGATCATATCTGAAAAAGCTGGACGTAGAAAGCGCGCTAATTAAGTGTCACAGCACTGGATCAAGCCGGCTCCGCTACGAGACACAACATGACAGTTTCGGGTCATCAATCAGAAACTAGTGTCAAATACTACAGTCGCACCAGTGAGGCCCCCCAAAAAGGTAGGATCTATGTCTGATGCAATTTCTTCAGCCCTCGGTATCAGGCCAACTGTAGATCCATAGCTTGGGCATAGCGAAATTAGGTCTAGTTCTACTCCTAGGACCAGGTCCTTTGTTCAGCACCGGCGGCTGTTAGCCTGGCAAACCGTTCAATGAGTGATAGCCAGCTTGAACTTCTGCTCAACGACATTGTCGAGTCACTAGCCAGGTTGCAAACATCATAGATCTAGGCTTAAGTCTCGGGCCTATAGGACTGTATGTTCCTGTGTTGCACAGCAGAGACTGTTAATAGTGTCTGTGAAGAGCCCGTGAAGATCCCCGGTGAAGAGCAAAGATTGTTGATGTTGGATTTCTTTTAGCGTTGGATTTTTTTGAACTACAAAAGACTGGACTTGATGTTGGATTTTTCTTATTCTGGTGAGTAAATCCTCTTGATCTCGTTTCATTTTGTTTGTTAAAGCTAGATCATGGTAGGCCTAGGCCTAGAAGTCTATATAACAGACCTGATAAAAACCCAATTTAAATCGGTTACCCGATTTTTTTTTTTTTTTTTTTTTTTACCGATTTTTTCCCGATTTTTTTTTTTCTTCCCGATTTATTAAAAAAAAAAAAAAAAAAAAAAAAAAAAAAAAAAAAAAAAATTAACCATTTTTTTAAAAACCATTTTGTTCTTCTTTCATATTTTATCTAATGGTTCGCCTCGGGGGTGAATAGAAGTGGCGGTATGAACACTACCGAGGTAGTGATAATTTCCACCATCATCTTCATGAACAGTCATCAGTTTTTCCCACCGTGCCAAAAGACTCCCATCAAAAATTGATAACACACGCTCGATACCTGCCAATATCTCTTTCGCGTAATTCAGCCAAATTTAATTTGTGCATAATTGTCAATATCTAGATCTAGCAATATATTATTCTAGGCCTAGATCTTGTTAGATCTAACTTAGGTCTAGGCCTATATCTAATATCTATCTATACTCTAGATCTAGACTATATTGTAAGAATGTATTGCCGATCCGTCTTATAAAACAATTAATGCACTGTTTCGCTCGTGTGTTAGGGCAGTTCCAGTGCACTCAGTTTAGTCAGTGCGATTTGTATACTGTACACAGTAAAAACGCTGTTTAAAAAAGTGATGTTCACTTACAGTTGTACACTATCTTAAACAACAGTTGAACAAATTGTAAACAATGTTGCTCGAAACGAAAGTAATTTTGTTAAACATTCGTTGTTTAAAATTTAATGACTGCTATATTTACTATACGAGAGCTTTTAGACAGTGTTGTTTACATATGACGTCATGTGTCTCGTGCCAGTAAAGTGCGCGCTGGCTAAAAGCTTTATTTCACATTGTTATGTTTAGAAACAGGTTCCTTGAAACTAACATGCAATTGAAATTAACATGCCACTTAGAAATGCAGTGCTGCTGTTCAGGCACAGCTCATTGTTATTCATATTAGATGCATACACACAATGCAAGTATATGCAAGGGTCTTCTGTTGACTACACAGATTGATACATATGTAAAAGCACATGGACATTGAGTCTGGATTAAACTACCAAAGCAACCACACGTGTTTCTGCAGGCTCCATATTGTTTGTCTCTATACTTACATTTATTTAGCTTAATAGTTTTTACTTTCCAACCCACAACACAACACACATCATGGCCGACCAAGATACCGACGCGCTTCTAAGTGACTGGGGATTCAATGTCTTAATTGAAATCACTTTTCTATTAACCAATTTGAAGTTTTTAACTTATAGCGTAAGTTCACAGTTACAATTTTCAGTATCTGTACGCAAATGTCAGAATAAAGGTAGACTTAAAATCGTCGCGTCATGCAGTGCGGCACTGATCGCGCACTCGTTTATAACGTGTGCTAAATTCCTTGCCATATACATTGCATGTATCCCTATATATGCAGTTTATACGTGCGTGCATGCGCGCTCATGCAAAATGGGCACTGTTTTGGCGCTAATTCATTAATTGCAGAATTACCCTACCATATTGTAGTCTTGTAGTCTTCATATACCTATATAGAGACCCAGAAGTAGTGGTGCACTTATTCAGAGTATCAAACCCAAATTATACCCCATTATACAACCCTTTTGTTGTAAACAACCCCCACTGAACAACAGCTCCTTTTTAAACAACTTTCTTTAAACAACCCAGTTGGTGTAAACAACCCCCACTGAACAACAGCTCCTTTTTAAACAACTTTCTTTAAACAACCCAGTTGGTGTAAACAATCCCCACTGAACAACAGCTCCTTTTTAAACAACTTTCTTTAAACAACCCAGTTGGTGTAAACAATCCCCACTGAACAACAGCTCCTTTTTAAACAACTTTCTTTAAACAACCCAGTTGGTGTAAACAACCCCCACTGAACAACAGCTCCTTTTTAAACAACTTTCTTTAAACAACCCAGTTGGTGTAAACAATCCCCACTGAACAACAGCTCCTTTTTAAACAACCGTCTTTAAACAACACCAGTTGTTTAAATTGTGATTTTAAACAAGTTGTTCAAAATGTTGATCAACTAAGTGTTTAAACTTTAAACAACTCGAGTTGCTTAACATTTTAAACAACTCTTAGATCAGGTCACCCGTTAATCAAGAGTTGTTTAAACTTTTAAACAACTTGTTCACAAAAATTTTAACTGTGTAAGCATGCGTGATCAAGAAAACGCGTAGGCCTATACTATATTAAGGGGTGCTGTATGTTTAGATTGGACGCGGTCCGCGCGGTGCTGCCTAGACACGATTAAGGGGTTCAAGAACATCCATTTTCGAGAAAAAGGGTACTATTCTGCATCAAGAAGGTAAAAAAAAAAATAGCTTAATACGCTGGTTGGCTTTTAATTAGTCCATGATTGGCTTATCATGATTGCCTTATAAATATTGATCTATTGTTAATAAGATGATGAAGCGGAACCTAATCAGATGATTGGTTGAGAGCGTACAGTCACGTGAATGGGCATTTATTTTGCCTAACTTATGGTATTGCTTCTCTATTCAGAAATCAATTTTTACATTGTGAATTTTACATCAGAAGCGCAATTTGATTTATTTTACATTGTCAACTTTTCAAATGGAAATCCCTATCGCATTTCAAAATGCTCAAGGGGTTACAATTTTACAACACTTGTTTAGGAGTACACTTTTTTTGAAATACCCGTTTATTGTGTGAATTCGGGAAGAAGAAAAAAAAACCGGAAAAATCACGCGAAATACACATTCAGGGTGTGTTTTGGCTTCAGAAGAAATCCTCGTTTAGGGGGTGTCTGGAAAATGTGGTCACGCTTTACATTACTGAATCGTACGAGGGCGGCGACTCAGTTGGCGGTGGCGTGGAAGGCCGGTAGTCTGGCGGGGGCTCGGTCATGTCGCAAACAGGGTTATTATTGGTGTATCCATGGTCATCACGTGATGCGGTGTGGGTAGGGGAGGAAACACGACGGCCGTGGCGCCCTCGCTGGTAGATAGCCAGACCGACGAGGATGAGGAACATTAACGAACATATCACGGCGATAAGTACTATCTCCCAAACTGGTATGACACCTCCAGGTTCTGCATTGTGATAGGAATATTTAAAGAGAATTTCAGTGTGTTAGATCAACACATTCTTGGAACTTTGCATTTCCATCTATACGAGCTAGCTTTAATTTGCTGATAATGACCGGGGGGGGGGGGGGTTCTTGATTTTTTCATCTAAGCTGACACTAGAAGTGAAAGTAAAACAGAACACGTGACGAATCCATAGCAGTCTAGGACAAGCAAAATAAAGAAAGAACATAATGCGCGCTCCACTTTGTTTTATTGGTGTTTTATTTTGTTTTTTGCTAGTTTCATTTGATTTGATTTCATTCATTGATTTTGTCATCATGACTCGCCAAAACGGCTGTTTTTTTTTTCACCTTTTCTTTTACAGAATGTCCGTGGACTGAATAGAAGAAGATTACAAATAAAATACAAACAAAAGCCAGTAACAAAAGTTAACAACCTCTCCCCCAAAAAAGAAAAAAAAAGGGGGAGGGGGAAGGAAAAAGGAAAAAGAAAAAAAAGGGGGGGGGGAAAGAAAGATTAGCAAATAAATCAGTGTGACATTTTGGTTTAATCTACGGACCCTTATCTTTTAATTTGGCCCGACAATCCCAAAGTTAAAAAAGGCTTTTGGCGCTCATAGACCTATTTCATCTAGGTTGCTTTGAACGCAATTACCCACCTCCGTAATAGTAACACTCGATTCCGACGTCTTGATCGTGCAGGCAGTCTTGCTCCCCCCAGGCACCATATTGACACTCCCTGAGGCTGTCGTCGTGGGCATCGCAGTCGACGTTGCTAAATGCAATCGGGCCGTTGCTATTAGGAAACTCTGAAGGGTCCATGATCTTGGCATACTGACCCGAGGCATAGTTCAGCTGTCTACATACAATCTGTTAACATCAGACAAACAAAATTATTTAAAAAAAAGTAAATAATTGCTGTACTGTTGCGTAGCTACATGGAGGCATAGGGAGCACTCGTCCCTTTAATGAATGACGAAAAGGAGGAAAAAAGGGAGAAGGAAAAAGGAGAAGGGCTAGGCATCTCATTCACCTCTCAAGACTACGTGTCCTTCGTAAGCGCCACCCTAGCTTCCTCACCTCTAATGACTGGTCCCTCGGTGCGCCACTGTTACCGAAAAACAAAAAACAAAAGTATCGAACACCGAGGTTCTTATGGTTTCAAACAATATCACAGTCACATCAATAACACCAACGAAAGGTCGTCAAAAAAGCGAATGCCAAGAAGTGTCGATTATATATGTTTTGTTTATGGCCGGTTAGTGGCGGTAAATGGCAGGGTTTCCTAACAGATCTGTGAGATAAGAAAACGCGATCTCAAAGGGTTCCTAAATCTCCTGTCGGGTGTCGGGGGGGGGGGGGGGTCTTTGGTTGGGGTGGGGGAGGTTACATTGATCACTTAAGCCTAATGTAAAATTAGAATAATAGGGGAGGGTGTTAATTGTACATTGTTTATTTCAATTTCAATGTATTCATGTTTCCAACAAAACATTACAAATCAATTACAAGCATTTGGTAAATAAATGTAAATCATTTACATATTATGAATGAAAACCGGACGATCAGTATATCCTCCGTATTGCATGTACGAGGGGAAATTATTTTATTTCATCTATTCATTTATTTATTTTTTGTTTGGACTGATCATTGTGATTATGAATATCATACATGTGTACAAGGGTTCTAGGACAATTACCCCCTGGGCAATCACCCCCCGGAAAATTACCCCCAGGAAAACTACACCCAAAGGACAATTACCCCCTGGAATATTACCCCCCGGAGAATTACCCCCCCGAGGACAATTACCCCCGATGACAATTATCTCCGAGATCAATTACCCCCCGAGGACAATTACCCCCGATGATAATTACCCCCCGCTGACAATTACCCCCCCCCCCCCCCGAGGACAACTACCCCCGTGGACAATCAGGATTCAATAGCAAAAGACGCTCTGACACATTGAGAGATGGCTACGAGCCCATAAGATCCCCTGCATGAACCCATATTCTTTAAATACTATAGCACGTTGTCTTCCTCATTACTACACATTTCCCTATTATTATAATTTATGCAACGCCAGTGCGGTTGCTAATTTCCACGAAGGATGTAAGTGTTAGGTAATTGTACAGCGCTTTTTAAAATGCATAGAAATACATTTCTCTGGAGCAGCGTTATTTTAACTTTTGTTAGTCACGGTACCCTCTTAAGAAATGAAAAGTTTCTCCCAAATCCTAAAGTCTTTACAGACTATTAATTTTGCATGACTCTGGCTCTCGTCAAGTGCTATGCACACACGTATGGGCACATTTAAGAATAAAAAGGAGAAGACATTTTCAAACTGGTAAAAAATTAGTTTGTAATCCACACACTAGAAACTATTTAAAGTACTGTATGCGGGCACCTTACCGCCGAATGTACATAAATAGAAAGTGATATATTCGGTCATGACCTTGATACACGAATATGAGGATATTCGGGCCTCTCGTTGCCCTTATTTGCCTTGCTGTCAACATATTGTCACCGAGCGAGGAAGGAAGACACTTTAGTATCTTCAACATTTTATTTTCTCATGTAATTACATATTTTAACCGTTTCTTGTATTTGATTTTTTTTTACAACATCAACGTTTTCCAAATCATTCTCTTGCGGCACCCCGGTTGAAAAACGCTGTGCTGGAGTTACAAAATCAAATGAGATGAATTATCAGAGAGCGGATATTTATTTTCTTTTGACATGGCACCGTACATGTAAATTGAAGGCAATTTCTATTTCAAAATAATTTAACGTACACGAAAACATATACTTCAGCATGACAACATAAATAAATAGATTTAGGTGAAGAAAACGTGAAGAAAACCTTAATTATGGATCATGGCATGGATGAGCAGGCACGTAGCCACGGGGGGGGGGGAGCACGTGCCCCCCAAAAATTTCCAAGATCGTTTGAACTTTTTTAGACCCCTCCCCAGAACGTCGATCGAATACATGTATGTGCCCCCCCCCCCCCAAAAAAAAAAAAAAAAAAAAAAAAAAAAAAAAAAACGCGCACTCATCTGCGCGCAATGAATTGTTCAATTTCTAAGAAATGTAATTTATGTTCTTTACTCGGTAGCAAAACTACAGGGGAATTGGGCAACCTCCACCTCTCCCCCAATATCGAATTGAATAATTTGAAAAGACTGAAATGAACTTTATAAATAACAAAGAAAATAAAGGTTTATACAATTTCCTGTAAATTGCAATTTGAAGAGAAGCTTGCGTTATACTTCACAGTGTTATAAATTCCTCGGGGGTGACTGTCATTGTCCTCGGGGGGGGGGGGGGTTGTCCTCAAAGGGGGGAGGGGTAGTTGTCCTTGGGGATAATTGTCCTCGTGGGAAGTTTTCCTGGGGGATAGTTGTCCTCGAGGGTAATAATAATAATAATAATAATAATAATAATAATAACGTTTTATTTACCCAGGGTAGCCACTTCAGTTATTAAACTGCTCTTCCAGCGGGTCCTGCATAACATAATATGTTATTACTACCCTTCTCCAATCTAATATGCTGAGCGCCTAGCTAGAAAGGCAGAAGGTCCCATTGATATAAATCTTTGGTATGACTCGGCTGCGGTTCGAACCCACGACATCCCGTTCATGAGGCGGGCGCTCTAACCACTGAGCCACCATGCCCTGTATCGCCATTGGGGGTAATTGTCTTCGGGGGATAGTTGTCCTCGGGGGTAATTGACCTCGGGGGTAATTGACATCGGGGGTAGTTGTCCTTGGGGGGGGGGGGTAATTCTCCGGGGGGGGGGTAATTTTCCGGGGGGTAATTGTCCTTGGGGGGTAATTGTCCTCGGGGGTAATTCTCCGGGGGGTAATCGTCCTACGGGGGTAGTTTTCCGGGGGTAATTTTCCGGGGGGTGATTGCCCAGGGGGTAATTGTCCTGATACGATGTACAAGATACAAGCCATTTGATGAAGATAGTGAGGGGGAAGGGATATGGGAAGAAGAGTTTGGGAGGGGGCTTTACCTCTGCCTCAGTCTGCCCCCAACCTTCCGATGAGCAAACAGTCCCCCAGGCTCCATCTCCGAGGTAAACCTCAAGCCGACCATTCGAAATCGCGCCATCATAGCTTACCAGCCGAGGTTTTATTGTTCCGATGGACTCTAAAATAAGAACACAAATATACATTGTTAAGATGGTATAGATAATAAAAAAAGTAATAATAATAATAATAATAGTCCCCTTCCTATTTAGCAACATGATAGATAATCTAACAACGATTTCGAATCATCTTTATAACATAAATGGCAAAATGCATACTTCGGGTAAAAGTTGGGGAATAGAAAGATAATCAAGACAGCAAATATCATCTGGATATTTCTCCCAAATTATATATTTAAATTATGTTGGCAAGTTTTATGCTTTTATTGGACGGCACGATCGTCAAAATCTCACAATCCATTTATTATGAGGAAACTAAATGATAGTCACTTTGCTTTAGCCATTGAATACTTCACTTACCTGTCATCTTTATGCGGAACTTATGAATAAAGTTTCTGAACATTTCAGTAAATGCATTAATGCAATTTCATTGCCTTTGATATTGCCGAATAGTACTGATTGTTTCGCTGAAAATGTCACTTTTTACATGTAATTTGTCTAGCAAGAATTTTAGACGATTTCTCATGTTTAGTTAACTTTAGGAAGTTTTCTTATTTTCCGCTCTAAAAACGATAACATGCGTTTCTTCAAGGACACTTTAGAATTTCCGGGACCTGTACGTGGCAAAAGTAGGTCACGGCAAAGTTCAGAGCCACATTATCATGTCAGAGAACATACATGTTTGTCCACCATTTTTGATGTAACAGATTTGTCTCAAATGTCTCCGCGAGGGGTAATTTGTGTACAACGGTTTCGAGTAGATCCTGCTAAGTATGTACATATTAATTAGCAATTGATTCAAATGCAATTAAAAAAATGTATAATGTTGAAATTTAGAGTTAAAATATAATGTAACTAACGAGCGTGGAATGTACACAACTTGTATGGCCAGGTATGGCGAGAGTATTTTCGGTTTCATTCCAAAAAGGAGCTAAATTCACAAATGTTAATAATTTAGTAAAAATCAGAGCTAACTGGTATATTTTTTCTTCTTATCATATACCATTGGTCCAGGGCGACATCTTTAACATAAATAACAACATGAAGGTACATGGCTGAAGGGAAAGTAGAGAAACAAAAAAGGCGATTTACTCAAAAGTACCCAATTTGGATTTAGCTCCTTTTGGAATGAAACATGATATTGTAACTAAAAATGTTCATACTTCCTGGTGAAATTTTAAAATGTGATATAGTGCATTTTTTTCCCCTTGTAGGAAACTCAGTTTTGATAAAATATGGATTTAGCTCCTTTTGGACTCAAGCTCTTCATATACATGTATAAGAACAGGATTTAGAACAAGTTTTACTCAGAACAACTTATTACAACAGGTATTACTCAGTTTTGATAAAATATGGATTTAGCTCCTTTTGGACTCAAGCTCTTCATATACATGTATAAGGACAGGATTTAGAACAAGTTTTACTCAGAACAACTTATTACAACAGGTATTACTCAAGATGAGATTATAATGGATATTCAATCTTTATTGCAAATGTTCATTTGACATTTAAGTGAATGATAAGAAGTACACATGAGGGCTAGGTATATTTACAATTGGTAAATACATAAAGAGGATTTTGATGGAAAGTAAGGATATTCCTGTTTTATAACAAAGTCAATATTTAATGGATTGATAGAACGATGTAATTGGTTTAAGAAATGATAAGTAATCGCAAGACAACGATTCTGAGGATTTCTTCATCTTTAATTTTTGATACAGATGGAATAAACACTCGATTTATCGAGGACTATCCGATTCAACAGGACAAACTCGACTGAGCATTCCTTATTTCCGTGATCCACTGATCAATGTTGGGTAATGCTGTTACTGACGTTAATGTAAAGGAGGCTTTAAATTTGAATACTTCGTCACTCTCAGTGATTAAAACGATTGTTTAAGAATCATAAATGAGCACTTGGGTTTCAAGAATGAGAAAATAATTCATAGCGACAATTATTTTACCATATGGCCTGCACATCATAGAAATGTCTTGAGTATGGTCCTGATCGCCGACCACCCTGCCATCCCAATCTGAGGTGCACTCTCTGAGATTATCCTCTTTCCCATAACACGTGATCGTCTCAATATCCCAGATAGGACCATCACCAATCCCGAACACGGCCTCGTCATAGATCTCCATGACGGACTCGTAGCCGAGCTGTCGACAAATGACCTCGGATTGATGTTCGTTGAGGGCTCTCACGGTGCCCCAGGTACCCGAGTGATATAGCTCGAGCCGACCTTGGCCAGCGTACTCGCTATTTTGTAGTCTGATTTCCAAGTCTATAAATACAAAATAAAACATCGTAAACTTGATTCTTTGAATTCTCTTGGACTCCCGGGTCCGTAGGCCTTACCAAACCCAAACATCATGAATATAACACAATCGCAAATACTTAAAGAGAAAGTTGAGTTCTGGGGGGAGTTGACAAATAATGTGTGAGCGTTTTCATTGTTATTATATGCAAGTGTGGAGGAAAATCAGAGAAAAAATATTTTCTGAAAAGCATGGCTCTTCAAATGCCATCATATTCTAAATATGACATGTATACCACATGTGTAGTACATCTTTCTGTGTACAGTGCATATTATTTTTACCAAGACTGGGCAAAATTTCTTATCATTTTGATGATTCCAGAACCTTGCAGTACACAAAAATACTATATGCTACATTATCAACCTTTTCCACATCATTTCATTCACAATGCAATCGCATGACCAGAACTTAACTTTATCTTCAGGAGCAATATCAATACATTGTTGTATTTCCTTCAGAAATCAAGTTCCGAATATTCGCAAACTTCAACAGGGGATGGGCAAGGTTATTGCAATTGCCTCATGTTGATATCTTCGAAAGTATTCGCGATCTTGTTCTCAGTCTGTTAATTCATATTTCTTGATTATGATCATTAAACATTGCCGTCATTGTGTTTTGGGAGTATCTGGGGGGGGGGGAGAGTAAAAACAAAAACAAAAATGCAGTACATGTACCTGGACCTCGCTAAAATGAAGGATGTGGTATGCTCCTACTTTAAAAAATGTCAACCATTTTAAACAATTTCCCTGTAATCTGAAGCACCTACTATTTTATTGCTGTTGTAAGTGCCTGCATAATTAGAAAAGGGGCGGGCTAGTAGTAGTAGGAAAAGGACGTGTTTTTTTTTCCCAATATGTTATTTTCGTATTATTTATCATTATTAGCATAGATCTTTGATTTCTAGCCCTACATTTTAAATTTCATGTTTAAAACATAAATTATTGCATTTTTTCTATGAAGTTATATTTTTTAAAATCTATTTACCTTTTACAAGGCTTATTTTTTTTAATGAATTATGTTTATAGCTGCTTTGTTAGACCTGATTACAGAACGCTTGATCTTACCTTTTGGTTTGCTACACCAAGCCTGTGCAACTGTCTCTGGGAGACATTTACTTACACCAGAATTAAAACTCCACGGACATTCGTAGAATAGCACCTCTTCTTCCCCCGTGCAGTTGTAGTGTCTTCTTGCTGTATAACCGATCACGGCGTTGATGAACGCGACGGGCGTCCGGTCATCACCATCGACCTCGTAACCGAGCTGACGACACACGACCTCCCGCTCCTCCCTGCCCCAGTGGGCATCGTCACAGATAGTGTACCATTCCCCGAAATACCACACCTGGACCACACCTTCGTAACTCGTGGAACCGCCCACGAGGCGAATTTGCTTGTCATTCCCTGAAATGATAGTAAGGGATGAACATTATGAGAGTGATACTAACATTTTAGTAAGTGTTTTTGATGTTTACACATGCATTAGCAAAGCTGACATTTTAGGCTCTGAAGCATTCAATAAATATCTTGATTCCTACCGGTACCCAATTACCTTGTGGCGGATCCAGTGGAGGGGGGGGGGCTGGGCCCCCTCCCCTGGCAAAAAATAGGTAAAACACGTTAATTTCTATTTTTCTTTTAAAAGAAAAGACGATTTTTTGTTAAAGGGTAAAGAATTTCCCTCCCTCCTCGTTGAGCACAACTACAACAACAACAATAAGTGCTCTCTACGCCCCCCCCCCTCACACACACCACTAAGCGAAATATCGGCAGGCGAGATTTTCAAATTTTCGGGGGCAGAAAAAAAAAATAATGCTGTCGTTGGGTTGTGAGTATTGTCGGTATTATTCAAATTGTCGGTATGCAAATAAAAAATTGTATTTTCGGTTAGACAATTCTCCCCGATGCCGGCAATTAAAAGCAAAGGGGAATATAAGCCAGTTCATAAATGCAGTCTAAGCATGAGCAGACCCCCCCCCCCCCCCTCCACCATCACACTCAGTGTTACTTAGGGTACGTGTATGCATGTTCCCTCCTTTTAAAAGCAAACCCTATCTCCGGTGTGTGAGGTCAATACGGCCGGATTTTTGTGTATTACGGGCCGGACTTTGTTACGTGAAAAGTACCCCTTTACCGGAGATTTTGGGACACGAATGCGGTCCCTCCGACGCCAGAGCCCAGTAGGAGTAGGAGGGGGGGGGGGGCAGATAAAGGTCATTGCGAACCAAATTGTGAAACACGCGGAGACAAAATACTGGATACGTGCTAATGAAGGTTATATAATCATAATTCATTCATGCACAATCAGTGCACTCGGTGATACACAGGTGGAAGTATTCTTTGAAAAGGGGAAAGGAGAATTAGGCTATATTATGTAGCACCTCAATCGCTGTAGGAGTGATTATTTCAAAATGTACAAAGTGGACCTCTTCATGTTTTGAAGATCTGTGGATATTCGGGGATATTTGGGACATGTGCTAACCGTGTGCTAAGAAAACTACGAACCGTTTTATTTGTCTGAAATTTACGCCAAAACTCTTTTGAAAAAATGTGGTCCACCCCTCCTCCTTTCATAATGATTAGCGAGACACCTTTTGGCATTTATGTTGCGTTATAAGTCACTTTACCGTGGAAAAAAACATACTCAAGCAAATAGTGCCAGCGTCGGTACGATGGTTGCAGTTATGATTCGCAAAACCACTGTGTTGGCAGCTAAAGAGACTACTCTCCTGTCCATTGCAATATAGGTCATCCAGAAGAATAGGACCATCGGCCGATCCAAAGTAGGAGTTCCGAGGCGCTTCCTTAGCCCCGAGTTCGTAGCCGACTTGGCGACAGACGACGTCGGCCTCGCTGAGACTCCATTGGTCGTCGCAAACAGTGCCCCAGGTGGCACCGTAGAAGACTTCGACCCGACCTTCGTATGGTCCGCTACCGTCGACGAGGCGGGCGGCTGGTGAACAAATAAATGATCATGGTGAATGTTGACATTGATGCAAAACTGATACAAAATCTAAAGATAGACCGATAAAGGGTCGTCGGATGATTTGTAGAACACAATAATTAATGTACAGTGCATTCCAGTTATGACATCACAATCCAACCTCCAAAAGGGAGTCCTCCATAATATGCATGGGTGAAGTTTAACATTTTCTTAACCTATTCTTGCTCCAATTTCTCTATGCTCATAATTAAGGAATATAATGCCTGTTGCGCACGAAACGTTATTTTGATGACGTCATGACCTTCGCTAATCAAACGTACAAAGGCCACTTTATAGCTCATATGTCTTTTACACTGTTCATATTGCATTAAGTTTGTGAACGATGTCATTACCGCATGTCGCATCAAAACGCGCTAGTCGATCAATGACGCAATCGACGCCTCGTTTGCAACAAGCATCACTACCCCTTTAATGGCCCGGTCCCACTGGCCGATGGACACAAAGCGTATGCATAAAGGACACAGCGGACGAGCAAAATTTCAGGGGTGGCTCCATCCGTTTTCATCCGCTCCAGAAATGGACAAAATTTGCGAAAACAGAACGGAAAATAACGGACGTGGGTAGTATGTAGCGGGGATGTTAAACGGATGTTCATCGGAAGCCTAGCGGACGAAAGCGGATGGAAGTGGATGACAGCTTTGAATACTTTATATACGAGATGCATACGCTTACATCCTTTCTATTTCTGTGCTACTAACGATGTATAGACGTTCCATGTACCTTATCTTTCCTCCCTCTTTCCGTTTTTATGGCCCGGTCCCACTGGCTGATGGACGCAAAACGTATATGCATAAAGGACACAGCGGACGAGCAAAATTTCAGGGATGGCTCCATCCGTTTCCATCCGCTCTAGAAATGGACAAAATTTGCGCAAACAGAACGGAAAATAACGGACGTGGGTAGTATGTAGCGGGGATGTTAAACGGATGTTCATCGGAGGCCTAGCGGATGAAAGCGGATGAAAGTGGATGACAGCTTTGAATACTTTATATACGAGATGCATACGCTTACATCCTTTCTATTTCCGTGCTACTAACGATGTATAGACGTTCCATGTACCTTATCTTTCCTCCCTCTTTCCGTTTTCAGCTGCAGCGGATGTGAGTTGCGAGGATGCCCAGAGGATGCAGAGAGGACACAGCGGACGTTTAACGGATGATAACGGACATAGAACGTTTGTTGCTCGTATTTGTCGCGGATTTACATCGTACACGGCTGAAGTTCATCCGTTCTAAAAGTTTTGTGCAGCTCAAACCTTTTTGCGCGGATCAAATCACAGTGAACGGATGCTCGATGGATAGAGCGTATGAAACACGTATGCAATGAGTACACAACGGATGCATAGCGTTTTCCAACGGATGGCAAGATTTGTTTACGTTTTACATCCTCTTTGCATCCGTAAGTGCAGTGGGACCGGGCCTTAAGCTAGCTTCTGCAGAATATTTATCATTGAGACATTACCTGTAGGATCACACTGTAGAATCACATCTTGTTTCTCATAGCAGGCGTCAACGGGGCTCCATTCTGCATCCGGACACGCTTCCAGTCTCCTCTCGTTACCATTGCAGCGGAAACCGCTGAGGAACTTCCATGGGGCGTTGTCGTCGTGCCCAGAGTTGGCGCTATTTGACGGATCACTCAAAGAACTGTTCAAATACCCGGAGAAGCCAAGTTGACGGCACGCTACTTCCCCGGCTGCCGCGGTCCAGGTATCACCGCAAACGCTGTCCAAAGTGCTTGAGGAATTCCCCATGATCTTCAGTATGCCATCATGCGATGAGGTACCGTGTTTAAGTCTTAAAGAACCTGGATGAGACATGGCAGAATCATGGAGAATATCATGTTACTAGGCGTCACTGGCGTACTGATGGTGTGTGTGTGGGGGGGGGGGGTGTGCGGGCTAAGGGAGGGGGCAGATGCCCCCCAAATAAAATCAAAACGTGTTTTCTTTTAATTCGATATCAGAATATTTTTATTCGATATCAAATGTTGCTGAAATGACGTGATTTTCCGGGGTTTTTTCCTCTAAAAATTGCCCTATTAAAATCTGAGATGTTCCCATTTTACCTGAACAAGTGCCCTTTTCTTCAATAATAACTGCCCATTTTTATCTTTGATGAGTGCCCCTCATCACCTCTGATTGGTGCCTCCTTTTTGTGACAGGTGTTCTCTTTTTTCTTTCCCAAATTGCCCCTTTTCCTTCTGATAAATGCCCTTTTTAAAAATTAGATCAACCTCCCATTCTAATAAATGCTCCTACTCACACCTTTGATAAATACCTCAATTAAAATCTAACATGTGCCCCATTTCCTACTACAATTGCCTCTATTTGGTTCTAGGACACCTACCCCCTGGACATCCACCCCCGGATAACCACCCCCAGTCAACTACCCCCTAGGGCAACCACCCTCTAGGACGACTATCCCCAAGAACAACTACCCCCAGACAATTACCCCCTAGGACAACTACCACGGACAACTACCCCCCACAACTACCCGGACCTACAAAAACCATCCTCTAGGACAAGTACCCCCGAGACAAATATCCTGGGGGGCAGTTCTCCTAGGGGTAGTTGTCCGGGGGTAGTTGTCCTAGGGGGTAGTTGACTGGGTGGTTATCCGGGGTGGATGTCCAGGGGGTAGGTGACCGGATACGCCACTATTCATCTTAGGTGACTGCCCTTACCACCTCTTATATTAAGTGCCCGTTCACCTCGTATAATTGCCTCTTTTCAAATATGAGAGGTGTTCTTTTTATTTTGACAAGTGCCTCTTTTTATTATTATAAGTGCCCTTTTCATCTCCGTTGAAGGCCCTAATTCAAATTTGAAAGATGCCTCCTTAAACTTTGTAATAAGTGCCTCCTTCCTTCCTACACCTGTAATTAGTGCCATTTTCCCTCTGATGATTGCCCTTAATTCTCCTTTGTAATCGAAGTGCCCCTTTTCCGTCCTCATAGAGTGCCATTTTCATGTCTATTGAGAGCCCCTTATGCCTCTGATAATGCCACTTTTTATTTTGACACGTGCTTTTTTTCCTTTGTCTAATAAGTGTCAGTTTTTTTCTTTTGATATGTGCCCCTTTTTCTTTTCACCATAAAATGTGCTCATAAATGTGCTCATAAAGCTCGCTCGCTACGCTAGCTCGCATTTATAGTATAATTATTTTCGTATTAAATATCTTTTCAGTCTTTCATGATTATATTGTGCTTAAAACCCCATCATAATTGTTTTTTCCTTTCTATAAGATGTAGTTTTTAGTACTGCGACCTCACAAATCTTAAAATTTGTGCTCGCTCGCAAATTTATATATTCAGCCCATCACACCCAGCTGCAAAGTATGATTTTTTTTTATCTTGGACCTTATAAAAACAGAAACAAACATTGAAATCATCCCTGATAATGTAATCACAATGTAGGGGTAAATGTATATACCAGTGTTTACAAATTTCATATTTTCACTTTAAGGTTCAATGTTGCAAGTGCCCCTTTTCCCAGAAAGTGCCCCTTTTCGTTGGTGCACCCCGCACTTTTTATGACGCTCCGCCGCCCCTGGATCATGGGTGGGATGTCAAATTATCATCTCATTGCTCAAAGTGTGAAGCAATCAAGTAATTTGTTATAGTAGGTAGTTGCAAGGTACTCTAGCCTCATGAATAATCAACATAACAAAAAACATTGCGCCATAGCTAAAACGTAATTTGTAGGCCCACATCTCGACCGTTATCGTCAATATCCGCACCCCCATTTCCCTCCCACCCCCACCCCCCCCCCCCCCCCAACAACAAAAAATGCCCATTATGTCACCTGATGGTGATGTGGATTTTGTTCTGCCCCTAAGTTTCCCCTCATTACGCTACTGCTAGGCGTTGGTATGTAAATATAATAATATGACGACGCTCGACATTTATTCTTATCTCCGACAAAACTCTAATCACCTGGCCAATGACTCTGCATTGATTATTAGCAGCCCTGAGACGTTTTTTTTTCGGCCTTTTTGTTTAACACAAGTAATTGCGTTATACAAAAAACGACAGAAAGAAGTTAATAGTTCACTTGCTGATAAGCAGCAAAACCCAAACAGAAACAATATTATTTACCGTGTTTCAGAAAAAGTATTACAAAACAAATGTAAGATATGATGTAACAAAGCTGATATCATTGTGACTCACAGAATTATGATTACGTTTACACGAAAATCAAATTTGAGCAAATATATAAGAAAACATCTTATACAAAATATTTAAAAAATAACGTAGAAGAATACATGTACGTGCCCCTCCCAATCTCGAATGGCGACAAAATGAGGGGGAAAAAGCAAAGGAAAGGGAATCGGAGAGGGGGAAGGCAACTTGATCAATGAACCGACCACTAAATGTCATATTGACATTGGCCTTGATCTCTCGCATTTCATTTCTGTCTCGTAAGACTTGTGCCTCGAAATGACGCCAGTGAAAACGCAATGGCTAAACCCTGTCTCTAGAACACTGTATACGGGGAATGATAGAACCATAAACATGGTAAAGGAGAAAGCCTGAAAGCCAACCAAAAAGAGGGCATTGTCTTTTTTGTGGGGGGCGCACTGGTCTTAATATTAGTAAATGGAATTTAGATTATCTAGGCCACCGATTAGGGGTAGGTTTCTTTTCTCTCTGCCTTTCCTTCCCACGCCCCTTCTCTCTTTCTCTCTCTCTCTCTTTCTCTCTTTCTCTCTTTGTCATTCGTGTGGACTTAGGGGAGAGAGGAGGTGGGTGCCTCTATTTCCACGCTACAGGTTTATCCTCTTCATTGATCAGGTTTACCAAAGATGGCCCTTACCTCGTGCTGTACAAATCACCGAAGCATCTTCCTCGTGCAAACAGTCATTACTCCCTATCGTATCAAAGTCGCATTGATCCAAGCTCTCTTCATCTCCTCGACACTGTACATCATCCAACCATATTGGACCACTCCCAACGCCGTAGGCTGCGGCGACCAGGGCCAGGTCTGCGCCACTGTAGCCCAGGTCCTTGCACACAACCTCGGCATCTTCTAGACTCCATTGGTCGTCACAGACCGACCCCCAGTATTCATTGTGAAACACCTCAACTCTTCCCTCAGAGGGAACCTGTCCATCCATCAGTCGATATTCTAAAAAGAAGCGAGTGAAAGACGAGAGAAAGACGAGAGAATAATGAAGGTTTAAATAACCTTTAGTCCTATCTTTTAGAACAGTAAGGGAGATCCTGATCTTTGTTCTTAATAATAATAATACTAATAATGGTACTTATATAGCGCACGTATCCACCACGGATGCATATGCCTTTCTGAAGCGCCTCGATACGTATTATGTGATACACCTGTTCGAATAAATGTATATCGATAGTCGGAATTCATATTGCATAATTATTGTTAGGGAGCACAAACATCGCGGCTTGCCCTACCTAGCAACATGTAATGTAATGCAATTTGCATTCTGACTATTGAAATACAATTATCCGTAACGGGTGAATGAAATCATTCGGATAAGTTTGGTCACATTATGCAAATATCCTATTCAAGCAATGAACACCTGCAGGCTTCTTTCATATTCTCCATATTTTGCCTAAATCGTAATGGAAAGGAGGAAATTGAAGGCATTCCTATCACTTGAGAGTCAGAGGAAAGAAGCGAATGACATGTTATATGATTGAAATTCTTTTCTCTGTCAGATTTATACTTTTTTATTTTGTATATAGTTACTTATGTTTTTTTGTACGTTTTAGAAATTCAACATATTCATCATTAGTTTCCTCTTCTTCCTCCTCCTCGTTTTCCCTTTTTTCTTCTCCTTGTTCTTGTTCTCCCTTTTTTTTTCGTTATCGTTTTATTCTTCGTGTACTTATTATCATTTGTATCGTTATTATTTTAATTTTCAATTTACTATTTATCATCATTATTATCTTTAATCTTTTAATCATTTTTTTCTTATCTGTCTGTAAATAATACGATTTTAATTTATTATTTTGTACATGTTTGTCGGGTACCCCACTGTAAATAAGCTCTCGCGCTTTCGTGTGTTTTCCTGCTCAAGCTGACTTAATTGTAGGTAATCTATTATTCTTTTAAATTGTTTTATGTTGGAGGCTTGGAGAATGAAATTAATCAATCAATCAATCAATTACATTCCTTGATGTTTAGAAAAAACATTAGAAATTCCCCTCTCCGCGGAGTTGAGTCTCATGCGGTATCTATTTGTTAAATTCCTAGGTTTAAAGCATATATAATGTACAGGTTACATTTATCACGTACACTCTGTTGGATTTCTTTCATTATTTAAATCACGTAGTCCCACTAATAGAGTGGGTCTATTGGCCTTAATATCCAGAAAACACAGACATAAATAAGTGCCAATATTTAGATCTCGGGTATACAGGCAAAATATTATTATGTCAAGTCCCTGAAACATGACAAATGTATACTTAAGGCAACGGCAATTTTTCTATCTCAAAACCGTTGAGTTACCATGTATATATGAAATGCATAATGAGTCATAACTCACCCGAATATCCAGTAATGTACGGAAATATGCTGAATAATCCCACCAGGCTGATGAAATAAATCGGCTTCATAGTCACAAAAATATATACATTATTCGCCTAAAATTTAATAAGGTCTCTTTGCCTTCCAACACACAAACAAAAAAGATGTGTTGATAACGACTCAAAATGTATACATAATTGGTGCTGAATTCTTGTTCCTGATCCGACAAACCGGCCGCTTCGCTTTGTTGACATTCTGTATATATAAGCAATGCGACAGAGCCGGGCAAAAAATAATATCTAACTACAAGTTGGATTTCTAAATACGGCTCGGGAGAAGCGTTATGCATTAAAGGAAACCTCACCTCAAAGAATAAGTGTAGGTGTTCTGAAAAAATGAAATGTATTTCTGCCATTCGATGTACAATATTCCTTACGAAAATATACAACAGATATATAAATGGAGATATTCTTGGCATGATGTGATGCCTTTTAGCATGACATGGGCGCAGCCATTTTCTTGAAAATGTGACGTACCAGTTGAAGTTTTACATGTATCGTGCACTAAGTTTTAGTTGGAAAGTCTTTTTAGTTCAATAAAACAAAACAAAAAACTTTACTTTAGAATTAGAAAAATGTAGAACAGGGTTACAGTTATGCTGTTATACATTTTTCATATAAAATTATTAAAATATAGCAGTTGACAAATCTATTTCATTAGCCTTCACTCAAAAATAGCACTAACTTGGTTATGCTATTTGCGTTCTGGCAATTGTAGCACAAAAAACAATAGCCTCTATGCTCTTCGCATACACTATGGTTGGAAATCGTGCAGATTAATGGGCAAGAATATAATAAATGTCTCAGAAGTAAAGTTATTTCTTTGGGTGAGGTTTCCTTTAAGGAAACGTCTCGTCAGAAAATGTAGAGGAACTAAAATTATGTTTGTTTGCAGTTGAACGTTCAAGTATTGTATTATCAGTTCACTGCGTTTACAATATGATAACGATTCGATATTCTTTTAACATCGAGTCATACTGTCATTACAAAGAGGAATATAATATTTTCGGAAGACGTTAAATATTTCATTGACGTCATTTCACGGGGGGGGGGGGGGGGAGTAATTGTCCTCGGGGGTAATTTTCCGGGGGTTTATTGTCCAAAAACCGATGAAAAAGACATAAACAAATAATAATAATACTGCGAATAGCGAAGTGTCTGTAGCTAGCGGGGCTACCAACTTTAAATACATACACCCCCCCCCCCCCAATCACGGATGCGGATGATTGCACCCCTTAAAATGTACTCAATTCCTTTAATGCCATGCATGATATACCGTCACAAACTTTAACTAATTCACTCTTCCCATTTTTAAATATGTGTTATAATTCACCACGCAATTGGTTCATCTTATTGTTGATTGTTATACCCTCTTGTGTGTTGCAATAAACACTCATGACGAACTATTGAATGCGCCAAGAAGCTAATGTGGGGCATGAAGTGTTAATTTCTGGATACGCTACTGAACTGCAGGTATAGGGTGAGAATACGTTGTAGAACATAACATGCATGTGGAACACACGACACAACAAAGACTGCAACACATATTAGGTTGCATTTTAGTGATACAATATATACTGTATTCATCTTTTTAATTGAGATATATAATTAGAAGTTAACACAAATGTATTTACATAAAACAGTGCAGTGACGATATTAACTTGTAACTAACTTCAACCAAGACATGATATGTTAACAAACAATAATGCAAAACAATTGCAAAACATTTTAACAAAATCATGCATAGTACTGATAAAATGAACTTCACGTTGGTTTCCAAAACAACACATGCATACAAAAATTGTTTTATATTGCCAGTTAAAAAAAAGAAAAAAAGAAGCGATTTTAATTAAAGAGGACACGAAATCAAATCTGAAATAACTGTTGTCAATAAAACGGAACAGGATCTTGATTGCTGACCATTAATGTCATTTGAGATCTGATATTCTTATATATATATATATATATATATATGCTACTAGCAGAGCAGAGCTCATGGCATCATCAATTAAAGCACCGAGCACCTGAAAAGGTCACATTTCTTTTAATATGCTAAACCCAAAGATGAACTTATGATTAAAGTTTAAATACACATGTATATTCCATGGGTATACTATTAGAAGCGATACACGTAGTTGCAACAGTATTTATTCAATTATGCTCCTTTGTAAAAAAAAATATATTCTTCTTTGTTATATTTCAGTGTTCTATAAAGAATCAACATCTCTATTGAAATGCTTCTCCAAAAATGAATTCGCCTAGATGATCATTTTATATTTTTAGCCAAGCTCCGCCTGTACATAACATTTTTTTGTTTTAATTTATTTTCAAACAATTGTAACCAGGTGACTGTTTTATAAAGACTAGTCACATACTCCTATCCTGTTTCCACATAGAATGCTGGATTATATGACTCACTTTATGCAAATATCTTTTAACACGTGACCCCGCAACATTACCTTTGTCCCTTTGTTTCTAAACACCTTGAACTCGTGAACCCGCTTGACTCCTCGCAGTCCGTGTCACGAGTTTAACCATCACACATCTCTTCTTCGCCTCCTGTTTTACAGGTAATTTACCATATTTTGTATTATACTTATTTTTAAGTAAATCATTATTATCATGTTATATAACTTTGTGCGGTTGTACTGATGTATGATTGGATATGTTCTGATGTTTGCATTTGTAGATGTCGTTGTTTTAAGGGAAGAATTTAAGTTAAGAAAGTTTAGCTTTCTTACAACTATTTGTGAAGCGTTATACTGTATGGGTGAATGGTACCCGCGAATATATATATTTCACATTGTACATAACTATTTAGCTTTCTTAAAGATATAAGCTTATCAATATTTTGTCGTTTATGAACCACTGTTGTGATTCTAGTTAGCATTTTACATATTCTAGTTGGGGAAATATTATTACGATTTTCCATATTCGATTTGATAACGTTTTGAGAGATTTCCATCTCAGAAGGAGATAACCTTCGATTTGACATTGAACCGGCCAGATTTTGCTAGTCTATAAGTCCGTACTTTCTTATAATATGTATCTAGTTATTATGTCGTTTATTTTGTTTATGATCTTACAATATCATGCCAAGATAATAATCTTGTTAATATATGTGTTCCGATATACCAGGGATTGGTGTGGAATTGCGGATAACTTTATAATCATTTATCTACGATACATTGGTGTCTGCGTGATTAGACTATGTACGTTCACACGGTGTGTAGGGAGTGAGCGCATCGTTGAGAACAAAGAAAGGATTACAACTTTTAACTAATAGTACCAGTACAAGTATTACCTTGACAAAGATGAACTTTGGGCTTTTTAGGTTTATTTGTCTCAACTCTGTAATCTGTATAAAGCAGGTACTATAGTATTAGTAGATGAAGCAAATATGCTTTAGCCGTCACTATTATATATGTATGAGTGGGCTTTATTATGGTCCAAAACGCTTATCTACTTCGCCCTGTACAGTATGAATTAATATAGAGGACATCAATTACTATTCATTTGCACAATATATGTCCGGTTAACGAAGGAATAACATATATATATATAAATATATAAATCCTTCAATAGTCTCCAGTTGTATATTATTAGTCAGACATGTATCATTATATTTAGTCTATTCGTGTTGGGTTAGTTATAGTTTCTTCGTTATAATTAGTTAGTACATATTTGTTATCGTCTTGTTTACTTTATTTAGGTTTAGTCGGGTTAAAGGGATATTGGCTATCTTCGCAGTTATACGTTTCGAGTATTTGTTATTAAGTTAATAGTTACTATATATTATCCCTTCTAGTGGATGATAAGTCTGTGTTTGTTTATAATGGGAAACGGATATGTTGTTGATATTTCCTTTGCTATTTCATCTAATGGCTAAGTTTGGATGTAAACCCATATATTAGTAAGATAGGAACTATAGTAGTGTATTTGTGTTTTGATTATGTGAGTTTGTTTATGTGTTATATATTATTATTACTTGTTATTAAAAGGCAGTCCGTTTCACGAGTTTAACCATCACACATCTCTTCTTCGCCTCCTGTTTTACAGACTTATCTCATCTATATTATTTTGGTACCCTACTATTACGAAAGTAACGAGGGCTACACAATACACATTCTCTTCAAATTTCTCATTGTATTTTACATGATTCTCAATTACTGAATTAAATTTATGCCCAAGATGCTTCAAAAAGACTACAAAGTTTAAGAAAATAAGAAATAATTTTGACTTCATAGCATTTGAGTCTCCCGTCCAAAAATGTACATATCTATTTTCGTAGCCCCCAAATAGAAATTAGTAAATTGGTTTTTACATTGTCACTGAAAACAAACTCTGGTTATTTGGAAACTGAACTTTAATAATAATAATATTATTTTAATAATAATATTATAATAATAATAATTATTATTATTGTTATTAAAATTAATATTATTATTATAACAATGATATATTTATAATTATCATCATAGTTGTGATTATCATTATTTGATTGATTAGTTTATTTGTATAGGCCTTTTTATTGCAGCTTAACCAAAGAAAATATTGAATAATGTGATAACATTTCTAAAGCGTGCATATGAATTGTCCTATCTTTATTTTAATCCAGGTTATACCCCGTAGTTCCGGCTAACAATCGGGTGTTGGATAAAGACGTAACAATAGGTGGCTATCACATCCATGTAACTACATGCATCGACTTACTTGATCCAGTCACTATGGGAAGTAAGTGGTTTTTTATCGGGGAAAATGTGCATACATGAATTTAGATGGATAATCTTGGTTTAACCTCCATCAACGTTTCTCATCAGATTTAAACTCTCTAAACGCACGTAAGTATGCATATTATTTTGTTTACTAAAACACACTCACAAAGATAAAACGACTGGTATAAGTTCGGTAACCGGATTTATTATCTTATAACAGGTTGGTAATGTTTTATGAGGTAAAGGAGCCATAATGGGGACACGATTTTGCAATAACGCGGATCGGAAAACGTCGGCTCGAATCAAATCAAATAAAATAAAACCTAATCAAATTAATGTGGGGGAATGACAGACAGGAGGGCGGGGGAGAGAAAGAGAGAGAGAGAGAGAGACGGAGAGAGAAGGAGAGAGAGTGAGGGGGTAGGGAGGGATAAAGCAAAAAATAGAGGGAGGACGAAGGGAGAGAGGAAAAAGAAAATGAAAAATCCTATCCACACTCCCCGATTCGCAAATGATTGAGGTCATGCATGGCTACGCCAATGATTATAGTAATGGCAGGGAGTCCCTGATAATGGTGACCTATACCGTATTCAGAGCAGTCATGCAGTCCAGCTTTGTACGCGATTATAATTCTTGTAAACCGAAATAGATTGTTTGAGTCAGTGTATCAATGTTTAATATGAAGTGATCATCAGCTTCTACGTATATGAGTACAGGCACGACATAAGGTTCATATTAAAAGTTTCATCTTTATTGTTCATACATTTAGCAATAGAAATTAGTGATATTTGCAGGGTATATAACTCTCTAAAGTGACGTAAATACATTCTTACAACAAGACAAATTTAGAAAAAATGTCAGTACATTATGCACATGTAGATAATCAAACAAAACATGAGCATTTAAACATTAAACTCTCAGTTACGCTTTTCCCGACAAGACTAAATTTGTTATTTCTTTAATTCGGAAAATCAGTAAAATACAGTAAAACCAAAAACGAGATGTACACGTCACACGAAAATATATTTCAGACTGTTTGTAGATTAATTGATTTGACGGCAAAGTGGAATGGCTTCTGGCTGACTGGCCTTTTCACCTTTTTTGTTTTTGTTTTTTGTTCTTGAGGGGGGATAAATATTAATTTCTGTCCATCATTCTGTGATATGCAACTTTTTTTTCAAATGTAACATAATAGATAATGAAATATGGCTATTACGTAGAAATCTATCTTTTGAAAAAGTATACTGTTATACAATATATTTTTACGATGTAGAGTATTTACATTCAATCATTAGCCTACAAATAAATTCAAAGGGCACGTTGGTGGATCTCATGGCACAAAATCATAATCATATTTACAGATATTATCATAATATGTATATATAACCACGATTTGACAACATTTATTCTGGCTTACAAACGCACAAATAGGCCTAGTAGGTATTTAGATTTACTTTCACATACATGCATGATATCACGTCTTCTATTGTACGTATAAATTACTCTCGATATTTTCTGCATGGGTTGCGAACTTTCCATCGTGGATCTAAAAACACCCATGATATAATCATTATATGTTTTCAGTTCAAATGTACATTGAATCAGTCCTTTAATACATACCACGAGACATCGCACCGTTTTGAAGTATAGTTCTTTGATCATTTTGATCTTGTCCACGACGGTTATCCTCGTCAACCTGAGGAGGGGCGGCGTCCTCGTTCGGCTTGTAGGGAGGCATGGCCACCGACTCGTACGAGGGCGGCGACTCGGTTGGCGGTGGCGTGGAAGGCCGGTAGTCTGGCGGGGGCTCGGTCATGTCGAAAGCAGGATTATGGATGTACCCATGGTCATCACGTGATGCGGTGTGGGTGGGGGAGGAGCCACGACGGCGAGGGCGCCCTCGATAGTAGATAGCAAGGACGATGAGGATGAGGAATATTGACGAACCAATGACGGCGATAATTGCTATCTCCCAGACTGGTATGGCATCATCAGGTTCTGCATTGTGATAGGAATATTTAAAGAGAATGTCAGTGTGTTAGATCAACACATTCTTGCAACTTTGCATTTCCATCTACATGCAAGCTAACTTCAATTTGCTGATAATGCCGGGAGTGGGGGGGGGGGGGGGGGGGGTTCTCGTTTCTTTCATCTATGTTGACACTAGAAATGAAAGTAAAAGAGAACACGGGACAATCCATGGCAGGGGCACAATCAAGTCCATAAAGTCTAGGACAAAGAAAGAAAGAAAGAAAATCATGCGCACTCGACTTGTTTTTTTGTTTTTTTTTATGTTTTACTTTTTTCCTAGTTTCATTTCATTGTATTTATTTAGTCATTGTAACTCGCTTCAGCCAAAACGGCTGGGATTGTTTCTTTTATTCTTTCAAAGGGAGTCCATGGACTGAATAAAAAAAAACTAACAATTACATTTCAACAACAAAACAGTAACAAAAGATGACCCCGCCCCCGCCCCCACCCCCACCCCCACAAAAACAAACAAACAAACATAACAAATGAGCAAATAAATCAGTGTGACATTTTGTTTTAATCTGCTGACCCTAAACTTGGCCCGACAATCCAAAATTTAAAAAAGTCTATTGGCGCTCAAGCATCTACTTCATCTAGGTTGCTTTGAACGAAATGACCCACCTTCGTAATATAAACACTCGATTCCGACGTCCTGATCGTGCATGCAGTCTCGCTCTCCCCAGGCACCATATTGACACTCCCTCAGGCTGCTGTGGTTGGCATCGCAGTCGACGTTGCTGAATGCGATCAGGCCGGAGCTATTAGGAAACTCTGAAGGATCCAGGATCTTCGCATACTGACCCGAGGCATAGTTCAGCTGTCTACATACAACCTGTTAGCATCAGACAAATTAAAAGTAAATAATTGCTGAACCGTGGCGAAGCTACAGGGGGGCATAGGGAGCACTAGTCCCTCAATTGAATGACGAAAAAGAGGGAACCAGGGAGAATGAAAAGGACAAGTGCCAGGCATCTCATTTACCTCTCAAGACCATGTGTCCTTCATGACTCTAGCGCCACCCTAGCTCCCCCACCTCTGAGGACTGGACCCCCGCTACGCCACTGTTACCGAATACAAACTAAATTCAAACATCAACGTTCTGAGGGTTTCAAACAATATCACAGTCACACCAATGACACCAACGAAAGGGCGTCGAAAAACCGAGTACCAAGTAGTGTCGATTATTGATCGGTTTAGGGTCGGTTTATAGGATCTGTTTGGCGGTAAATGGCCGGGTCTCAGAACAGATCTGTGAGATAAGAAAACGCGATCACAAAGTGTCCCTCCTGTCAGGTGTATTATGAGGGGGTAAATTCCATGGTGGGGGTGGAGGAGGTTGCATTAATCGCGAAGCAAGCTTAAGCCCAATGTAAAATTAGAATAATAGGAGAGGGTTTTTTTGTACATGAGACATGATAACATTACCCCTGTCCTCCGCTCTCTTTACTGGCTTCCCGTCTCACAACTCATCATCTTCAAAATCCTGATCCTAACTTACAAAGCCCAACATGGACATTTAATTATCATTTAACATTACAGATCTTATCTCACACAAGATCCCGACAACCTCTATAAGACTTCGTTTATCCACCCATGCTCATCTACAGCTGGCCCCGGGACCAAGTACTCAAACAAGATATGGAGACAGTGCCTTCAGCATAGCTGCTCCAAGGCTTCGGAACAGGCTTCCTCTTAGATCGTTAGATTCATTTAATTCCCCCGGAAAAAATTCCATTTTATCTCTCCCTGTTAGTCAGTAGCTTTCAATATGTCATACTCTTGTTATTCACGGTACATGTAATGTAATTGCCTTAATTTGACTTTGTAATGTTTTGGCCTAAAATTAATTGTATTCTATTGTATTTTAATGTATAGACTAGATGTATCTGTGCTTTCTGTATTATGAACTAATGTAGGTTGATTAGTATATATTAATTGTAGTTTGTAAATATGAGACTTGGTTGAATGTACTATTATCTGAAAATCGCCATTTTTTTGTAAAGCGCTTAGAAACATATTGTATTAAGCGCTCTAGAAATACAACGTATTATTATTGTTAAATAAATGAAAGCTATTCGTTATAATTATATGAATGAAAACCGGACGATCAGTATTCCGTCCGTATTTGGTGTGAGAGGGGAAATTGTTTTATTTTATCTATTCATTTATTTATTTTTGTTTTGACTGATCACGGTGAATATAAATATAATATACATGTGTACAAGAAACAAGCCATTTGATGAAGGTAATGAGGGGAAAGGGATAGAAATGGGAGATGGGGTGGGAAGAGGAGCGAGATCAGGGGGGGGGGGGGCTTTACCTGTGCCTCGGTCTGCCCCCATCCTTCCGATGAGCAAACAGTCCCCCAGGCTCCATCTCCGAGGTAAACCTCAAGCCGACCATTCGAAATCACATTATTATAGCCTACCAGCCGAGGTTTTAATGTTCCGATGGATTCTAAAATGAGAAAACATAAATACATTGTTAAGATGGTATAGATAATAACGATAATAGTCCCCTCCCTATTCAGCAACATGGTTTATAATCTAGCAATGATTTCTGATTCATCTTTATAACATAAATGACAAAAAGCATACTTTGTGTAAAAGTTTGGGAATAGAAAGATAATAAAGACGGCAAATGTCGTCTGGATATTTCTCCCAAATTATATGTTTATAAATTTTGGCAAGTTTCATGCTTCTTTTTTTTCTATCGGAAGGTAAGACCATCAAAGGTTCACAATCCACTTACTATGAGGAAACTTAATGAAAGTTCGTTTGCTTGAGCCAATGAGTACTTCCCTTATTTGCCATCTTTCTGCAGAACTTATGAACAAATGTTCTGAAGATTTCAGCAAATTCAATTTCATTTCTTTTGATAATGCCGAATAATACTGATAAATGTCGGGAAATGCCGTAAGACGTTAATTTAAAGGAGGTCTTAAATTTGAATAATTCATCACTTTCAGTGATTAAAAAATGATTGTTTAAGAATCATAAATGAGCACTTGAGTTTCAAGAATGAGAAAATTATTTAAAGCGACAGTTCTTTTACCATATGGCCTGCACATCATAGAAATATCTTGAGTATGGTCCAGATCGTCGACCCCCACGCCATCCCCAGCCGAGGCACACTCTCTGAGATTATCCTCATTCCCATCACACGTGATCGTCTCCATGTCCCAGATAGGACCATCACCAATCCCGAACGCGGCCTCGTCATAGATCTCCATGAGGGACTCGTAGCCGAGCTGTCGACAAATGACCTCGGCTTGATGTTGGTTGAGGGCTCTCACGGTGCCCCAGGTACCCGAGTGATAAAGCTCGAGTCGACCTTGGCCAACGTACTCGCTACTTTGTAATCTGATGTCCAAGTCTAATACAAAATAATAAAACATCGTAAACACGATTCTTTGAATTCGCTTACATTGTTGCCTTTCTCTTTGACTCCAGGGTCTGTATGCCTGTCATTCTAATCAAACCCAAATATCACGAATATAACACAATAGCAGAGACTTTCAAGAAATCAAAGGAGGGAGGGCGGGGCGGCGTTCACCGGCTCTTTCGTATTAATTATCAGTATAAGCGAAAATTTATAAACTTCTCTGTCTTTGACTTCTGGCCCTCATCGCATTTTTTGTAAAATGTATCCACCGTTACAAATGCCGTTGTAACCCTTTTTTCTAGGTAGTGATTTTCTGTATTCTATTTTTTACTTTTTACTAGGCCTATTTTCCTCAAAAAGCTGCTTCATAGTCATTTCCAGTATAACCTGACATTATTCAGCAAAGATTTAGACCTTATTAGAGAAGGCTTGATCTTACCTTTGGGTTTGCTACACCAAGCCTGTGCAACCATCTCTGGAAGACATTCCCGTACATAATGATTATAATCAAACGGACATCCGTAGTACAGGTCGTACAGAATGTCTTCTTCCCCCGTGCATTTGTAGTATCTTATTAATGTATCGCCGATCACGGCGTTGATGAGAGCGACGGGCGTCCGGTCATCATCGTCGACCTCGTAACCGAGTTGACGACACACGACCTCCCGCTCCTCCTTGCCCCAGTGGGTATCGTCACAGACAGTGTGCCACTCCTCGTAATACCACACCTGGACCACACCTTCGTAACTCGTGGAACCGCCCAGGAGGCGAATTTGCTTGTCTTTCCCTGAAAATGATAGTTGGGGAAGAACATTATGAGAGTGATACTAACAGTTTAGAAAGTGTCCAATGCGGCTTCCAAAGGGCTTTTGATGATTTACACCGGCCCTAGCCTAGCTGACTAGATATTAGGCGCTGAAGCATTCGAGAAATATCTTGATTCCTACCGGTACTCAATTACCTCACCTGGATCTAGAGTGGCAAATGTAAATAGTGACTTGCCAAAATTGTAATTCATTACTTAACTAAACTGTTCTGAAACAATATGTGTATTTATAACATGCAGTTAGCCCGTGATGTAAACTTTATATACTTAGGCATTTAGCAATCAGTGGTGCCATTAGAACTGCAGGAGGGGATGTCGTGGGGATGTGAGACTCCCAGGCTAAAAAAAATGTCGTCATGCAAATCACAAATTGTATTCTCGGTTTATTAAACAATTCTATCCGATGCCGGCAATTAAAAGCAAAGGGGAAGGCGCTTAACAATACTAAGTACTAAGAAGACTAAGAATAGTTTTATCTGTCTGAAATTTTCGCCAAAACTCTTTTGAAAAAATCCGGTGCACCCATTCCCCTTTCATATTGATCTAGCGAGGCACCTGTTTGTATTTTATGTTGTATTATAAGTCACTTTATAGTTGGAAAACATACTCAAGCAAACAGCGCCCGCGTCGGTACTATGGTTGCAGTTATCATTTCCGAAACTACTGCGTTGACACCTAAAGAGACTACTCTCCCATTCATAGCAAAATAGGCCATCCAGAAGAATAGGACCATCAGCCGATCCGAAGAAAGAGTTCCGAGGCGCTTCCAAGGCCCCGAGTTCGTAGCCGAGTTGGCGACAGAAGACGCTGGCGTCGTCGAGATCCCATTCGTTGTCGCAAACAGTGCCCCAGGTGGCACCGTAGAAGACTTCAACCCGGCCTTCGTATGGTCCGCTACCGTCGACAACGCGGGCATCTGGTGAACGAAGAAAAGAAAATGATCTTGGTGAATGTTGACATTGATGTGAAACTGAAACGAAATCTAAAAATAGACCGATAAAGGGTCGTTGAGTGATTTGTAGTACACAAGAATTAATGTATAGTGCATTATAGTTATGACATGACAATCCAACCTCCAAAAGGGCGTCCTCCATATGATGCATATGATGCATCAACATTTTCTTTACTTATTCTTGCTCCAATTTCTCTGTGTTCATAATTCAGGATAATCTAATTACGAAGGATTATGCCTATTTCACACTAAACGTTATTTTGATGACGTTATGACCTGCGCTAATTAAACATGCAAAGGCCACTTTATGTCAGTAAAACACAGTATTTCCACTGTTCATATTGCATTCAGTTTGTGAGCGATGTCACTACCGCATGTCGCGTCAAAAACGCGCGAGTCAATCGCTGACGCAGTCCCGTGTCAGCAAACGACGCCTCTTGTGCATGAGTATCAAGACCACTTTAAGCTAGCTTCTGCAGAATAGGTTTCATTGAGACATTACCTGTAGGATCACAC